TAAAGCTATCATCAAGTAAAGCTATCATCAGTATAAACACCTAAAAATTGTGTAACATTTACTCTGTTTATTTTGACATTATCAATGAAAAGAGATGGCATTTTGTTAGGAATTGATTTTTTTAGATAGTGGATAAAAGAAAATCCATTTAGTTTTTTTAATGTTAGGCGATAACTTGTTTGATTTAAACCAATAAGAAATCTTATTTCATTCTAGATTTATAAGTTAAAACAGTGTAGGGATGTTATTAAGAGCTAAAAGTAGGTTTGTATTATCGGCAAACTACTGTTTGGGGAATATCTCACTTTCGATCTAGTTTACGTTTTAATGACCTATATTTTCTTGATAACCAGTCTCTTAGAGTTCTTTGAGGAATGTTATAATCTCGTATTGCTTCAGCTACCGAATTTCCAGATCTAATAGAATATAGTACCTTTTTCAAATCTTTCGTTTTCCATTTTGCCCTAATAGTAATTCCTTTGGGCCTAGTCATTCTAAAAACAAAAAAATATTACTTGACAAGTTTCCAGACAAGTATTACTAAATTATTAAAATAATCAAGGTTGCATTTTACAAGTTTCATCATTTTTCATGAGGCCGTTGTGCAGTGGTAGCGCACTTACCTCAGAAACAACGTATCCGTGGTTCAAACCCCACCTCTGGGGAAGTTTTGCAACATCGGTTAGGAAAGAGGCGTGAACTTCCAATTAAATGCTCATCCGCGATGCTCTGTGGTAAGACTGTAAGGGCACCTAAATAAATTAAAAAAAAAAAGTTACCATAAATGCAGTTTAAAACATTTTTAAGTTAAAAACATTTAAATAATGAGGTTGTGAATAGATAAAAATAACAAAAGTATATTTCTAAGGAAACGGTATTCCTTAAACAGTCATTTTTGCTCTAACTGATGCAATTAGCGCAGCAACTCAAATAATTTTTTTGTTTAATTTTTTTAACTTCAACATTAAATTACAGTAATTTAAAGTAAATTAGAGAGCAAAAATATTAATTAACAGCAAATTACAGGTATTGAGAGCAATTACAACACATTTATAGAAAATTTCAATATCGAAAATCAAAATTAAACGTGCGGCGTTAAAAGCTAATTGCGTTCTGGCGTTATTGGTCAGAGTATCACGTTTTATCTAAACGGTTTTGTTTATTTCATTGTGAACATATCGTATTTTTAAAAATCGAATAATGTATTGCACATATTAATCAACTAAAATACAATAAAACATTGATTGCTTTGAGCAAATATAGATCAATTCAATATGTACTTGATTAATGAAAAAAAAATGTCTAAAACCACGCTCTCCACACTGTATAGAATAAATGTAAATGACTCAAAACCTCAATAAAATGGACGAAAGTTCACAAAAAATAATATTTGATAACTAAGAAATGACTTATCTAAGGAGTTCTGAGATTGGTTCCTATATTACGTCATTAAATATTTGTTGAACGAAATTTGAAAATTGAATGGCGTTATAAGCCGTCGGCGTTATTATACTACTTTACCCTATACTTTGTAATATTTGAATAAGTTTAACATGTAAAGAAATAAAAGTTCAAGAAATAGAACTATCATTCAATGATCTCATGCTAAAACACAAACTGTAAAAATTTCTAAAAGACAATTTGCGCAACTGTTGTTTTTCTTTCCTTGCAAGAGGTTTATGAACAAATATTAAATTAATTGATAAGTAAATTAGAAGTTGTCCAATATTAATTTATAAACTTCAAAAATTAATTAATTTTTTAAAATTTTTTAAAGGTAATATGTTTATATTAATTTAAGAGTTAATTTTATTTTTAGGATGTCATAAAAGATGTTGTTCTAGTCAGGCTGTTTTAAATAATCTGTCAGAAAACCTTAAACCTGAGTCATGCAAGCAACTTGATTCAGGCATAATAAGAAGCTAGAAGGCATTTAAAGAAGCTAGAAGACATTTAAAAAGTCCTTTAAAATATCTATAAGTATATAAGTTTTTATTAGCATTATAGAATTGTTTTAAAAATATTTTTATATAGAATTGTTAAATAGAATCGTTATATAAAAATTTTATATAGAGCTTTTTTATAGAAATGTGCGGCCATGGCGCAGTGGTTAGAGCGCTTGCTTTATAAGCAGGAGATCCAGATTCGAAACGAGCTCTGAACATATTTTCGCGTCACGGTAAGGAAGGAGGCGTGAACTTTCTGGTTAAATGCACTTCCGCGGTGCTCTGTGACAAGACTGTTAGGTCTTCTTCGCAATTTTTTGCAAATCATCTTTATTTGACATAAGTATAAACATATAAATTTTTGGAGTTTGTTCCATGTCTGGAAGTTAGTTATCTCAAACATCAAAAAATGCTGGATCCGCGCCTGAAGCCAATAAAGTTTTACTTTAAAGTATAATAATGTGACTTGTATATTTATATTTATATATATGGTGAATTAACAACATTGGCATCTGATGCTATTAGTTAACAAAATATTCCAAAGTAACGGTTTAATCTTAAATCCTAATCTTTTTTAATATATACCATCATTGGTATAAGTTTAAAAAACCTTAATCTTTGTTTACATGACATGATGACATGTAAACAAATATTAAGCCTTAATCTTTTTATGAAAGTTTTTAGCAAAACTAACCATAAAAAAGTTGGGTGGTTATACATAAAAGTACTATAAAAATCAAGCCTAACCTTTCTTCTTTCCAAATATAATTTTTGTTTATATATGTTTCTAAAAAAAAACACCACTATAAACGTTTGTCTAACCCTACCTAAAAAAAGCAGTATATTTAATAAAGCACCTCTTAACATATTTGCTCCCTATTATTTTTCGTTGAAATTTGTGCACATAAATAGAAAATACATGTATTAAGGTGGCTGAATAATCAAAAAAGCGGAAACTTCATGCCTTCGACTACGAATTCATGTGAAAACATCAACCAAATATTCAGGAGCAAAATAAACCGTTAAAAAGTTTAGTAACTATACATAAAAGTTTAAAAAAAATAAAGATGAGCTTCTCTTCTTTCCAAAAAGTATCTATGTGTATATATGTTTCTAAAAAGAAATTCCACAAAACTACGTCTACCCCACGCTGCCTAAAAAAAAGTGAAAAAAACGAGTCACAAAATTTTAGCACAAAAATCGGTTCCGTAAATCACGATATGTGCGTACCTATATGCATATATATTTATACATATATAATTAAATATATACATATATAAATATATATATATATATATATATATATATATATATATATATATATATATATATATATATTTATATATATATAAATTAGTAAGAACCTGTGTATTAGTCACTAATATTATTTCGAGATGCCAAAATAAAATTTACATTTGAAAGTTCTTATACACTTGAAAGTTTCTTTTACATTTGTATTAAAAATGCGTTTTTAATTAACAAAAATGAATAAGTTTTGACGATTGCACTAATTAAATTTCGATTTAATTAAGCATTCTGGATCTTTTTTTTGACGTAAAATTTATTGGAAGCGAAAAAGACGTTCAAAAGTCGTTTAGAATGTAAATAGGACGGACGGACGCTAATTGAACGTCCAAAGGACGTCTTTTTTACGTCCCGTGCCCAATGGGTAGTAGTTTGCTTCTACATAAATTGCAAATGCCAGTTGGAATTTTCTCCTCATTGAAATCAATACTACACTTAGTAATAATCTTTAAATTAAAGAATCAGTTAATATGCGATCACTTTTTTTCAAACACAAAAAGCAAACACATTTTCTACAATCACAATGAGGTTTTGCTGAATTAAGCATTTTTTGACAAAGACAAATTAATTTTTAACGGAAATGCCAATTTATTTGCTTATATTATTTTAGCAGCAAAAATTTGGCCCCAACATATTTCAATTTTATTGCCTTGAAATTTCAATTTATATAAAAGAAGGAAAAAAAAGGTAAACAATCTTGATTTGAGATATATGCAACATTTAAGACAAAATAAAAGGTTTTTTAAAGTGACTTTCAGTAGTAGAATCGCATTTTGAAAATAAAGTTTCTTAGTGTAAATCAGGCAAATACTTTAAATGCAATTTTCTTCTAAGGACGTAATCAAAAGATTCTAATTTTTGTTTTAAAGTGATCACCATAACCTATTTTACAGTGATCACCATAACCTATAGAATCACCCGTACAAGGAATTTTTTGGATCATTTCCGAAGAGGTTGGGACCCTTTTTTGGACAAAAAGGGGTCCCAACCTCTGTACCCTACTCAACTTGCTATATTAAATAAAATAAATTAGCGGCTGTTGTGGTTATGAAAAGTTAGCAATTTTTTGATAATTACTTTTACTTTTTGAACTTTAATTTTTTTTTTTTTAATAATCTTGATGTTTTTTGCATCAGTTATTTAAAAGAGTGAAAATTTAATTTATTTTAAAAGACTGGCTGGTTTTTTGTTGTTGCTTTGGAAATGGCTCTGCGTTTTGCAGTTTCGTTGTAAGTCTTGCATTTTGGCTTCTTTTATTCAGCGTGGTTGTTGTTAACAACCTAGAAAGCAAAGATATAACGGTCCCGCACTGGTCCTGTGTAGGCTGCCGCGCTAGTGAAGCTCCGTTTTGCTCTAAGGATTTTTCATGGACCAGCCGTGGCTAGCCAGCGATGGCAAAACAGCGGCTAGCCAGTGCAGGAAAAGAACTGGCAGAACAACGATTAGCCATTTTTACATGCCATCGTACTTTACCGTATCATCGGGATTTAGTTTTTGTTAACTAACTGGCTCGCGCAAGGGATTGTTAAGGAATTGCTATGGATTTTCATTGGGCAATCCTATTTGAATTTACTATATTTTCCTTTCAGACCCCGTCTTCTTAATCATTTAAAGTTGTTTTTAGCATTATCAACTGTAATTTTTTGGTTTAAAATTGGCGTATTTTTCTTTAGTTTAAGGACAATAAAATGTATTGGACACGTGATTATTGACAAGTTTAATTATTATGCATAAATTTGAAAAACAGGCTTAAATTTCAAAATATATTTAGAAAAAACAAAAATAATACAAAGGTTTAATTCATAACCATTTGACAAAGGTGCGTTTCTGCGATTCATATCTAATCGTCAACACGATTCGTGATAAATTTCTGCTTTAATGTGTAACGTTTTTGTCTTCTTTAGTCCTTGCATCCATTTTAACTTTAATAAAATAAAAACAAACATATGTACAATCTAATAACTTATTACATATATACTTATACAACATAGTAACAACATATATACAAAATGGTCACAACTTATAAACAACATGGTCACAACTTATAAACAATCATGTTACAATAACAATTATTTTTATTATTGACGAAAAAATTCAATCCATTACCAAACCATAGTTACAGAGACTTGAGTTAAGGTTGTTTTTATAACTTTGTGAACTAAAATGTAATATCACAATAAAAATTTACAATCACAACCAAATGCAGGTTGCTTACAAATATATTTATTAAAACATGTGGTACTTGGACCAAAACTCCATTAAAAATTTCATGTCTTGAGATTTCATGATATTTAATTTAATTCACAGCAGATTTTAAATAAAGTATATGACACACAATTTATCATTTTATTATAAATAGATAAGTATGATTAGTATGACAGTTTAGGCTGTTCTCGATGTTTACAGTTTAGGCTGTTCTCGATGTTTACACTTTAGGCTGTTCTCGATGTTTACAGTTTAGGCTGTTCTCAATGTTTACAGTTTAGGCTGTTCTCGATGACAACATCTTACTTTAATCATCACAACAAACTCTAAAAACAAAATATCAATATTATTAAATCTAATAATTAAAATTATTTTATTTAAAGTTTTTTCATATAAAATAAACAAATTAAGAAAAAGCATCAAACCTACGGAATAGAGTTTTATTATCACAGTTGCAGAAAGTTTGGAGCATTCATACTAAAACAAAATATATAAAAATACATGCTACAAACTAAAACAAAAATCAGCTCAATAGCATTATTATTGGCAATTCTTTATAACTTTTAATGAAAGTGTTTTAAAAATGAATTATAGAGAATAAATAACTTTGGAAGTTTGACATTAGAGCAAATCAAGCACTTCTTGAAATTATTAGATTATTATAATTACTTATTCCAAACAGGAACAATACCCATTATTGATAAACCTACTAGAATAACAAATCATTCGTCCTCTTTAATTGACAACATTCTAACGAATGACATTTTTAATACAACGCTTAAAAAAGGCATTGTAAAAACCGATGTTTCTGACCATTTTCCTATTTTTTTCTGCATAAGCGCAAACAGCAAACCAAGTATGCATGGAAAGGTAACAATTAAAAAACGTGTTTACAACAACACTAACCTAAATTTATTTAAAGAGCAACTTTTGAATCAAGACTGGAGCTATATAAATTTCAATGACGATATAAACCTCATCTATAAACCTACAACGCAAACTTTCCATTGCGTGAAACAATTCTTAACGCAAAAGACCTATCTTGTCCTTGGATAACTAAAGGAATTAAAAGTCCTCAAAAATAAAGCAAAAACTTTATGTTAAGTATCTAAAAACTAAATCAGAAAAGCATAAAATCACTTACACTGTCTATAAAAATTTATTTGAAAAACTCCGCAAAAAAGCCAAAAAAATTTACTATTTGGACTTGCTTACGAAGCACAAATATAATTCAAAGCGAGTTTGGCAAATAATGAAGGATACTACTGGTAAACATAAGACATGCACAAAATCTATGCCGGCTGCAATAAAAATTAAAATTAAAATAGTTAACGATTCGAAGGAAATTGTCACCGAATTTAACAAGTTTTTTTCAACAATATTGTTGTATATAGGACAAAATCTATCAAATATAGGACAAAATCTATCAAATAAAATTCCTTATGTAGACAATAACTCCGTTGATGAATTTATTTTATTAACAAATTCAACTCTGAACTTTTCAAATCTAACATTTAGTGAATTTAAAATAGCATATAAAGCAATAAAAAGAAATAAAGCAACTGGGCCTGATGATATAAATGGGAACATTATAATCGACTCTTTTGATGCGATTAAAGATATCCTCTTTAAAATTTTTAAAGCATCTTTTACTCAAGGATCTTTTCCAGATAGCTTGAAAATAGCAAAAATAACTCCATTCTTTAAAACAGGCAACCCTACAAACGTAACAAATTATCGTCCTATCTCAGTTCTACCAGTCTTTTAAAAAATATTAGAAAAAATAATGTACAACAGATTGTACACTTATCTTATTGACAATAAACTTCTTTATAAAAATCAGTTTGGTTTTCAAAGAAGAAGTTCTACTGAACACGCTATTCTCCAAGTAACGCGCAGTATTGTCGACTCTAAGAATTCTCAATTTACTCTTGGCATATTTATTGATTTGTCAAAAGCTTTTGACACTGTTAATCACCATATTTTATTGAAAAAGCTAGAAAGCTATGGTATAAGAGATGTAACCCTAAACTGGTTTAAAAGTTATCTAAGTAACCGTAAACAATTTGTTTATAACAAAGAATCTTCGCCTCAATTTTTAACGAATGTAACATGTGGTTTTCCCCAAGGATCCATACTTGGGACACTCTTATTTTTAATATACATAAATGATCTTTACAAAACTTCTAATTTAGCGACTATAATTTTTGCCGGCGATACGAGTTTATTTCAGTCCAACGAAGACATTAAAATACTCTTTAACCATATGACTGAGGAACTTAATAATATTTCATATTGGTTCAAAAAAATAGGTTGTCTTTAAATACCGATAAAACAAAATGGATACTTTTTCATCCAACTTCTAAAAAAAAGAAAATTCAAAATATCTTGCCTGACTTATATATTGACAGTACAGTAATAAAAAGAGAAAAAAATACAAAATTCTTAGGAGTTATAATAGATGATTGCTAAAAGCATTGGAGTTCTATATAAAGTTAGACATATATTAAATAAACATCAATTAACACAACTATATTATTCATTTATTCATTGCCATTTAAATTATGCAAATATAATATGGTGAAGCGCTCACAAAACCAAACTTAAATCTTTCTATCGACATCAGAAACACGCAGCTCGCACAATTAATTTTGCAAATCGTTTTTCCAGCTCAACACCACTTCTTAAAGAAATGAAAGTTTTGAATATTTACGAACTAAATGTTTTGAATATTTTATGTTTTATGTTTAAATGTAAAGAAAATATGTCACCTAATATATTTATAAATCTTTATAATTTGAAACCTAAAAGCAAATATAATCTTCGTGCCAGTAAAAGTATCGAAGAGCCATTTTGCTAAACTAAATTTGACCAGTTTTGTATTACTTATTGTTGTCCTTCTCTTTGGAATAAAATAATTTTACCTAATTTCGATTTTTCTTTTAAATGGTCTTATTTTTCTTTTAAACGGAAAGTAAAAGAAATTATCTTTTCAACACATAATATTTATATCTATTTTTAGTATTTAAGTTGTTTTATTTATTTATTTTGATTTATACTTTATTTTGTTTATTATATAGATTGTGAAGAATATTAGAATATTGTATTCTTTTTGTTATATAGATTGTAGATTGTAAAGGGCTTCATGATAAGATTCTGTGATCTTCTAGAAGTCCTGCCGGTAATATATTCAATGTAAATTTACTTTGTACATATTCTGGCAAATCAAAAAAAAAAAAAAAAAAAAAAAAAATCAATATCAATCATTCTTCAGTTAACATAAATTTTGTTTTATGTTTCTTTAACTAACTTAGATTTTAAGTTTCTTAAACCAGTTTTAGCTTGGTGAAAAAAAAAAGGTAATCCTACAGTTACGCGGCCTAAAATAATTATATTTTTGCCAAGGGGTTTTGCTACATCGATATAATAAAAGAAAAAAGATTGCTTCCCCATGCCAAACCCTCAGTCGATGTAGCAGGACTTCCTTGTAGCAGCAGTCTATAAGATAGTCGATGTAGCAGCACTCCGTTGCGATTCAGGCTATAAGATAGTCTATGTAGCGAAACCCCCTGGCAAAAATATAACTATTTTAGGCCGCGTAACTGTAGCTTTACCAAAAAAATAATTTTAACATTAAACCAATTTAATGGTTAATCTTTGATGTAAACAATGTTAATATATCATGATCATTATGTTATTTGTAGTGTACCAAGTAAGCACAAAGACGTTTAAAAGACGTTTTAAAGATGTCTTTAAGGAGGTCTAAAAGGCGCACTTGTAGACGTCTAGATCATAAGGCTAAAAGACGTCTAAATGAAGACGTCTTTATAGAAACGCGTTTTAGACGTATGTTAGACGTTTTTTTCAAGATAAATTTAAGTACATGACGTAACATTTTCGCGTAGTATGTGGTATATATTCATTGTATTTATAACATCATATATTGTATATACAAAATATACATAGGAACCAGCAATCACAATAATATTGCTGTAATCACCACCAACGGTTGATGCATCAAAGATGAAAATAATAAATAACAATAACAAATATATATCAAAACAGTATTTAAAGCATTTATAACTTATTTTTAGTTATAATAAAATTTAACTTACATATTGCTGGCTAATTTTTGACCGCATACTTGACTTATTATATGGCTTGTGGGTGTATAAAAACTAAAAGTACTGATATTTAACTTATATATTATTCTTGCCATTTTCACTTATTATCATGATCAGTCAACTATCTATTAAAAAAACAAAATAATTGTTAATAAAAAAAAGATATATTATTATTATAGCAATTATTTTAGTGATTCCTGTGACAACAATTTTAGCAATTGTGTAAAAAAGTAATTTAATTTAAAGTAATTTATACTTAAAACTTAAACAAATTATTGAAAATAATAAAAACTATGTTTTTACTTTGAATATACGACATCTACTTAACGCGTAATGACAAAGCCGTCAAAAGAAGTCATAATGACATATTTATAAACAGGTCTCAGAAAAGACGTCTTTTAGCTTTGATCTAGACGTCTTTTAATGCGTATTTTAGACTATTTATTACGCGTCTTTTAAACGTATTTTTAAACTTTAAAAAGACGCATTTTAAACGTCATGTTAAAATCGCATTTATTAAAGACGTCTAGAAGATGTCTTAAAAAAAGATATCTTCTAGACGTTTTTTTAACGCTTAAATAGACGCCTTTTAAACGTCATTTTAAAAACGCCTTTATAAAAGACGTCTAAAAAATGTCTTAAAAATTGACGTCTTCTAGACGTCTTTTATCTTTAAAAAAGACGCCTTTTAAACGTCATTTTAAAAAAGCATTTATAAAAGACGTCTAAAAGATGTCTTTAAAACGTCTATAAAAGTGCGTCTTTACCTAGACTAGTTTTAGACGTCTATAAGTGTCTAAAATGCGTCTTGTGCTTACTGGGTAACAACAGATCCCATACGAAACTTTATTTATTTAACAAAAGAATTAATTGTAATAATTTATTTCGAAATTATTTTAAAAACATAAATTTCCGTTTATGAATATTAATTTTTAAAATTTATTTAGAAATTATTATGCACGCAATATAGAATCACCTGAAAGTATTTTTTAAACAATAAAGTTTTAAGATATATTTGTATGAAAAATGAAAAAAGCGACCTTCAAGATGGATGCAAAATTCTGCGCAGTACACGCAATAAACTCTTGTATATATCTTTATTAATTTGATTTTACCACTGATGGCCCCAATGTCTGTTGTTATGCTTCGGCAAATCTTTGTTGGACCATTAATGGTGCTTTTACGGCTACCCAGCTCAGTCAATTTTATAAAGGCTCAGCAATGGCCTTGTTACGGCTTCCCACAACTGGCAATACAAGAACGGAACTTTATCGGGCCTTTAAAGAATTCGCTGGCATTGGCTAGCCATTATCGGACCAGTATATACTTGCTGTCTGGGAACCAATCTAACCAAAATGAAAGTTATTTCTGGAAACGACTAACTGGAATAATTGTTGTCTGGAAAAGACTAATTGAAATTAGTTCATTTGAGACAGGTTTATGAATAGCTATTATTAAATCAAAAAAAATTAATTTTCACTTCGGTTAGAGTGGTTGTTAACAACGACTACGCTGAATGAGAAAAACGAAAAGCAGCACCATAGGTACAATACCCAGCTCTTTCACGGTAAATTTTCATCAGGGCCACTTACTTATTTCCTCCCGACAAAAAAATCCACACTGAAACAAATAAAAAATTTCTTTTCGCACAAAATACTATCCATGCAACAAAAAATATTAATTGTGCATTTGGAAACTGGTAAAACATGGGCCATAACAACCAATGCATGAATACAAGTTATTAAAAATAAAATAATTAAGTTATTTTATCTATAGCTCAATTACCAGTGCCTTTACAATTATAATACCCAATAGTAAATATGAACTAGTAATATCAAATAAAACATTGCAGTTGGATAAAAGGTATTTTCATTATAACGGATTATTTTTGATTAATGTATTAGATTTTTAATAACTTTGTTGATAAAGATTTACTTTTCCCTTTTAATAATAATTGATTATTAAATTTTGGGAGAACCAAAACCTTCCGATAGATATAAATAGAATTGATATACAGTAAAACTAGATATTGCTACAACCCGAATCTTCAAGAAACTCCTACTATTTCCTATCATCTCAAAGGTTTCTTAAAGAATAATTTTAAAATATCTTAATAGACAAAATAATTTAGTTTTGTTATTTTTTTCATTGTAAAAAAATAAACCATTAAAAAAAGACTAGAAGAAGTTAATGCAGAAAGATACTAGAAAAATAAAATTAGAGTCTATAAAAGTAAAAACTTTTATCTATCGGAAGGTTTTGGTTCGTGAATGATTAAAGAATTAACTAATAATAATTAATAACAGATTAAATTATTCTGTTTGAATTTAATTTTTTTATTTTTTGCATAAACTTTTATGAATAACATTACTGATATAGATTATAGATGTTACCTATATTTGAACTCCAATCTTCATAAAATTAATCCGTTCGACCAATTTATGGAAGTTAAGAAGATTGAACTAAAACAAAGTATTATTTAATAATACTTTATTAAGTCCCATCTCCTTTTTTTTGTACCAACGTTATAGTAACATAAATATTAAGTATAAAACCACTTAATATTGTTATTATCTTTGTAATAATAGTTATTTCAACAAAAAACACCCCAATTTTGACTACCAAAGTCATTTACAAAATCCAAAACAAAGAAAAACCTTTTATAATTAACTAAACAAAGCCGCCATTTCGTTCATTTATCCCCTATGAAAAAGTCACACATTAAAACCGCACGCTATGAAAGTCTTTAGTAAAAACTCTCTAATTAAATAATTAAAAAATATATATTTTCATATCGTATTCGTCTAGTTCCACTTCTAGTTCAATTTCTTTTTATTTTTTAATTTTTTATTTTAAAAAATATTTTTTATTTTAGAAAAAGATTTTTTCCTTGAACACCGAGTAATATAAATTATTTACGCTTAAAAGTAATTCGCGTTTTTACGGCATGATAAGTAAAAGAATCATCCCTACTATATTAGTTTATTGCAATAAAATTTCTTTGAAAATATCCGGAAATTTTTGAGCAAAAAATTTCCCGGAAAATTTTCAACGCTAGTCCACACTGTTTTAACAACACCAAAAATCGATTTATGACGAGAAAAAGGAATAATTCTTTCGTATTACACCATAGGGAAATATTTACTGGACTGAAGCCATTTAGCATTAAGTTCTAATAAATTTGAAATCAAAATTAGCGAAGCTTTGAGGATGCAGTACCAACAAACTAGCCCAGATGATGCCATATTACAAATAAATAATACAATTATTTTAAATGTCTCCTTAAAAAGAAGTAATTTATCCAGGATGTATTTAAAATAGTTTAAATCTGTGAATTTTTAATAAATAGTTATACCGTTGCTATGGATGTTGTTAAGTTAAAAATTTGAGTTACCCTAAGAACAAATTTTAACTAAAAACAAAATTTTAAGGATTTAATAACAATGATTTAAAACATTGCTGCAATTATCTAGTTAAAACATTGCTGCAATTATCTAGTTAAAACATTGCTGCAATTATCTAGTTAAAACATTGCTGCAATTATCTAGTTAAAACATTGCTGCAATTATCTAGTTAAAACATTGCTGCAATTATCTAGTTAAAACATTGCTGCAATTATCTAGTTAAAACATTGCTGCAATTATCTAGTTAAAACATTGCTGCAATTATCTAGTTAAAACATTGCTGCAATTATCTAGTTAAAACATTGCTGCAATTATCTAGTTAAAACATTGCTGCAATTATCTAGTTAAAACATTGCTGCAATTATCTAGTTAAGCACAATAATTATCTAGTTAAAACACTGCTGCACAATAATTATCTAGTTAAAACATTGCACAATAATTATCTAGTTAAAACATTGCTGCAATTATCTAGTTAAAACATTGCTGCAATTATCTAGTTAAGCACAATAATTATCTAGTTAAAACACTGCTGCACAATAATTATCTAGTTAAAACATTGCACAATAATTATCTAGTTAAAACATTGCTGCAATTATCTAGTTAAAACATTGCTGCAATTATCTAGTTAAGCACAATAATTATCTAGTTAAAACACTGCTGCACAATAATTATCTAGTTAAAACATTGCACAATAATTATCTAGTTAAAACATTGCTGCAATTATCTAGTTAAAACATTGCTGCAATTATCTAGTTAAGCACAATAATTATCTAGTTAAAACACTGCTGCACAATAATTATCTAGTTAAAACATTGCACAATAATTATCTAGTTAAAACATTGCTGCACAATAATTATCTAGTTAAAACATTGCTGCAATTATCTAGTTAAGCTAGATAGCATATGCGGATATAAAACAAAATTTAATATGCAAATAAAATAAAAAAGAATTAATATATTACATATTTCTTGGTGTTGTAATAGAAAAAGTAAGGTCGTTGTAATAGAAAAAGTAATAGAAAAATTCCTGATTAAATCGTCTAGATTACCCGAAAATCAATTTTCTTCCAACTTAATATTCATGCAAAGGTATTTCAAATAACTTATATAAATAACAAATTTGATCGTAATTTAAAGTTTAAAAGCATGATTCTTAAATAATTATTTATAAAAACTTCAAGAATCGTGAATCTTTTTGATCCACGAATCCAAAGATTTCTGCTCATGAGGTATGAAATGCCGTTTTTTATTACTTTTACATAAATGGTTCGAAATTTTCCGTTTCATGTTAACGTATTTCCATTTCGGAGTGGGAAGGCTGAGAATAGGTGTGTTGAGATTAACCGAGTTCTTATTTGAACTTGTTTGAAAAATGACCGTATTTAAATTGGGCACGCTTTGAAGCCTTGTGTCAAAACTTTTTTCAGGGTAACTCCATATTGGTTCGCATAATTTGGGGCTGTGCATTGTGCATAAATGAGTCTGAATCGGCCGTCCGTCTTTAAAGTTTACAAAGTTCTCAGTATATCGAACTGTTTGAGAGTTGTTTTCAATAACAGAGTTTTTAAGAACATTTTTTGAAATCTCGTAAGAAGTTGAGGAGACGTTAGAAATGAGTCTTGTCTCGGAAAAGTTCTTCGCAAAAGTGACAGAAGGCTTGTACACGGACGTAGAACCAATCGAAACTACTGAATTTTCCCCTGTCACGTTAACCAATTTTGATTTAGAAAAAAAAGTAGAAAAAGCACTTTTATTTTGCACAGAAAGATCTTTTTTATCCCTAGAAAAATGATCACTGATTGGAAGCATTTCTTTATTTCTAGCAGATTCTATTGGAAATGGACCTATCCAGGAGAGTATTCGATTTGCCACATTGGACATTTGGGTAGGCGTAAAAGTTAAAGGCTCGCATTTTTCGCGTACAATATTAACACATTGCTCAGTATCAATACGTTGCTCGGTTTTTAGAAACGGGGCGACCTTTTGACAGTGTGAAACATTATCAACATTATTTAAAACAATTTCTTTATTCACTAAACCAGCAGGCGAATAAACATCCAGGTCCTTTTCATTTATTATACCATTTTTATGCAATGAGTCATTTTCTTTTTGTATACCAAATTTATGCAATGAAGCGTTCACGGTTTGAAAATGATCATGGACTTGAACTAAAGAAACAAACACATAAGTCATATCGTATTTTAACATATAAAAAAATAAATAAATGAACAAATAAGTAAGCAAATATATAATTTTTAACATTAGGACAATTATAAAAACTAGCATAGTGCATCTCTTCTTAAGACATATTTTAATATAAAGTTTAGAAACTAAAAACAAAAGTTAAAAAATAAAATTGATAATGCATTTAAACGAGCCGTGATGCAGTGGGTAGGTCATGTTTCTTTATCTACCAGGTGCTATTATATATATATATATATATATATATATATATATATATATATATATATATATATATATATATATATATATATATATATATATATATATATATATATATATATATGTACACGCTTTATTTTCATTATTATTATTGTTAATTTATATATATATATATATATATATATATATATATATATATATATATATATATATATATATATATATATATATATATATATATATATATAAATTAACAATAATAATAATGAAAATAAAGCGTGTACACGAAATAAATGTGAAAGTAGAAAAACAACTAAAAAAAGTACTCTTCAATTTTTCCAACCAAGTAATAACTTTAATACAATAAAATAAGATCAAATATATAAAAAAAAAAAATCAAGTTATTCCTGTGGAATTCTAATAAAATTTCGAACATTTGCTTTGGTGTTATCCATAAGCTTGTGCACAGAATAAGAATTGAAGCCATTTGATGCTTTTTTAAATGATATTTTTTAAATGAAGTTTTTTTTTTTTTTTTCATTTTTCTTATAATAATGGCCCAGTACTTTTCAATAACTCTTAATTCTGGGCAGTTTGGAGGACTTTCTGTTTTAGGTACAAATTTCACATTTTTAATTTTACACCATTCCAAAGCCAGTTTACAATAATGAATTGAAACTAAATCTGACCAGAACACAGGTCTTATCGTGTGATTTTATGAGAGGTAAAAGGCGTTTTTGTAAACACTCTTTAACATATATTTGACTCGAAAGTGTGGACTGAGAAATATAAGGTACTGATTTTCTGTCGCAACTGCAAATAGCTTGCCAAATCAAGACTTTTTTTTAGCAAATTTGTCATGTTTTATGTATTTAAATTTCTTATCTGCTTTTCCTCTACTTTTGGCAATATAATAGACGGCATCAGGAATTTGCTAAAGATCGTACTTAATATAAGTTTCATCGTCTTCAATAATACAGAAATTTTTAGAAATAAAATTGTCATACAACTTTCTGCAGCGAGTTTTTGCACTTTTTTGTTGAGTTTCAGATCGGTTGGGCACTTTTTGTTCTTTAAAAGAATGAAAACCATGTTTATTTCGAACTTTTACAACAGAACTATGAGAAAGTCCATAAATGTTTGCGCGCTCCCTTAGTGAAAGGCTTGGGTTAGTCTTAAAACTGTTATCCAGTTTTGTAACTAGTTTTTTTATTTTTAAAAACCTTCTTTCCACCACCAGATTTACGTTTGATCGATTTTGTTTGAGATAAACGTTGGATTACACGACTAACGGTGTATGGGTGTATTTGCAACGCTTTTGCTATCGAATTGTAGCTACTATTGGGATTTTCCAAATATTTGTGCATAATTTTTTCTCCTGTCTTCTTTTATCATTTATAAAACTAATTTTAAGTTAATTCAAAAAACTAATACATTTTTTTGAAACCACAACACGTTGTAAACAAAATACAAAACAATTAAAAAGATTTTAATATAACCACTGAAAAAACTTGGTTATTTATCAAATCAGCTACTATTATGTCAGACAGTAAGTTGTTTAATGAATTTACAATCTAATTTTGGAAAAAAGGAGATGTATTTCTGCAAAAAGCTTTTGTCAGTTTGAATGTGTTGTTGTAACTGTGGAACAGTTTGAATGTGTTGTTGTAATTGTAGAACAGTTTGAATTTGTGTTGTTGTAACTGTGCTGTTGTAACTGAGGACCTTCTTTCAATGTATTTTGAAGATAATTTGTAACCCAATTTATCATGGCTACTGATGAATTTTATGTTGAATTTGTAGGTGCTAATTATGATATCCCTGAGTTTAACTTGTCTGTGCCATTTTACATTCAATTGAACCATAATATTCATCTTTACTGTTACATGATATATAATTGTAATTGTAATCAACATTAGTCATAAATTTAGTATTTATATTTGTTTTATATGCATAACCTTGCATTTTTCATAGTCATATATGCATAATCTTGCATAATAAGGTTCCAAAGGGTCAAAAATCGCGTAACGTCATTTATGGACAACCCCTTAACTAATTTTTGTTTATTTTATTAATACGTTTGTTCTTAATTTTAAGAAAAAATATTAAGAAAATAGTTCATACCTCAAAAAGATTTCCAATTTAAAAAAGTTAAAAAAATAGACTCTGTTACTTCATTTTTTTTAATTATATTTATATTTTTTGTTTTTAATTTAATATGAAATAATTAAAAAATAATTACTGAAACTGATTGATGAACAACACTGTTAAAATGGTATACAAATAATATAATGAAAACAAATTATTTAAAAAATATCACTTGAAAACAAATTTTTAAATTATTTTAGCATTAAAAAAAAAAAGATTATTTGTTACAACAACAAAAAAACAATGAATCTCTTGGTTTTTCTATTTAAAAAAAAAATAGTCAAACGAGATTATGGAGCTACAAAGCTATTTTAACCAAATGCAAATATTTAAAACAATTTTTAATCAAATACAATACACTTACAACAATGTAGCTTTTTATTACCAAATACAAATGTTTGACCCTAACCCTGATCAGAATCAATGATACTAATACATATTTTTAATGAACAAAAAACATTCCCCATCCATTGATACTCATACTATAATAGGATGAAGATTTACTGCTCTCTCTCGTTCAATGCTCATAACAAATTCAGAAGAGTCTTTAACAAAAACCAGGTTTCTATCAAGTTTTTTTATGGACTAAACAAATTTTTGTAGACTCCCTCTGTCAAAAAATGCACCCCAGGATTTTAAAAATGTTTAGTTTTTACAATCCTGGGGATTTTAATAAAATTCCAGGGTTTTGTCACTCTATTTATTTCTGGTTCTTCCAGATATTGGCTTAGATGAGTGTCAATGCTTGTTGGTAATTGGTGTTTATTTGCTGTGCCACCAGCGGATATAGAAGCGGAATTGATGAATAATTTTATCAATAAATTGCCAGAGTATTGATGATGATCATAGATATCAAAATATAACTGGATAGCATATACGGCAAATTTTTTGAAACCAGTTTTGGCCTCCCAAGATGGCAGCGTATTCGGTTGTTTACAAATAAAGAAATTTTTATTAAGAACTTTTATATCTTTTTTATATGAAAATAAATGTACAAGCAAATACAAATATAATTTTTGGTTTTAATAGAAACTATTTTAGAAAAAAACGCCAAATTATATATAATTTTAGAAATTTACGTAAATATTACATATTTACGTAAATATCTAAAATATATATAATAATTTGTTCAACAAAATAGTATATTTTGTGACAATTAGATTGTATCAATTTGTTGTTACAATTAGATTAGATTAATAAACAATTAGATTGTATCTTTCTTTTAAATTTATTAAAAATAAAAAATAAATTTAATTAAATAAGTTGAAAACTTTTAGTTAAACAACTGCATGGTAGGCAGCTGAACATCTTTTTAAAATAAACTATTATAAATTAGTTTATCAAATAGATATCACAAATTTACAATTACTGTATGAACCATTAGCTGAGCTCTGTGAGTACACACAACTCAGAAGTTCCTACTAGAATTTTTTATATATAATTATTTGTACCTTATTTTTTATTTGGTTGTATTTTACTTAAATCACTAAACATGTATATATATTTATATATATATTTTTTAATGCAGATAATTTTTTTTTAGCTATGCATCTAGCAATTTTTTAGCTATGTATCTAGAAATATGAGATCAAAACTTTTTTTGTATTCAAATAGAATGCTGCAATTTGGAATATCTGCATAATCATGGTCACTATTAGTTGGCTTTCTCTCTAACTAATCGTAATTTCTTATTAACTCAATTTCAGTCAGATATTTTAGTACTGGAGTGACCAAATGAATTGTCTAAAACTTTTGAAGTATGATGTAAGCACTATGTTGGCAATTGATATTGTTGTTAAACATTCTTGCAGATCTTAAAGCTACATAAGATCTCACAGCACAATAAAGAGCTTGTTAGTTTTGACTAAGTATATATATTGAATAATTTTATGGTGAATCTTTCTTTTTATATTCAGTCAAGATATATATTTTTAACTGATTTAATTGCTACCAAATATCAAATAAAACCAGTTTTTTGATTACACAAGATCATTTGCATACCAGCTAATCTTTTTAAGAATAATGATATAATTATATGCGATATCAAGAAATGGAACACAAAGAGCCTTGTTACATACACACAATGCTGACTAGTATCCTTTGGCAGATTTATTGAATTTAATATGTCATGAAATCAATCTTTTATCTGAATGAACTCAACGTATATTCATAAAAATATTTAACTGCAACATACAGTTTAATAATATAAAAAAGTCAGCAAGCTTTAACTTACAACCATAATACTTAACAGCACGAAAAAAAAGTATATATAACTTTAGTTAAGAAGATATTTCAAAGAGGTGTTTTGAATATTTCTATATTAAAGATTTAATAAATAGATTTTTTTCAAACAAATATATTTTTACATTTACAAATGTATTTTTACATTATACATTTGTATCCTCAATTGTATTGAGTGATCATCTTTTAAGTTATAAGAAATTATTATTTACATTTTATTTGATTTAAAAGTTGTTATAAATAACTATAATTCAGACCTGATTTTTTTTTTACCAGTATAAGTGACACTTTAGAATATTTTAATCAAATAATTTATGCAATAATAGCATTCAAGTAAAATTTAATTCTAGAAGGAACCCCTGAGTTTTTGTGTACTTACAGCACTCAGTTATTAGTTCATGCAGCATTCGCACAAATTGGTATCTCGTTAAAAAAACGGAAAATATAAAATTGTAAGTAGACATGATTGCTGCTTACCATGCTGCAATGTTATTAACCTTCTAGCATACAGCATTGGGTAACTAAGAACTAAAAGGTACATAAAATATACATAAAACTAAAATTGTAAATTTTGCTAATACCATTCAGTAATAAATTCAATTATTCAAAAAGATTATTTCTTTTTTTTTCTCTAATAATTATAAAGTTAATTTTTTTTTTTACAAATGTATTAGTCTTATTTAAATATTTTCTTTTGTATTTTGATAAAGTAAAATTAAATGTATATCGATTTCACCGCTAGGAAATAAAATTTCCGCCATCTTGGGAGGCCAAACTTGGCTTTTTTCGGAAAAAACAATATAATCCGCTATCCAGTTATCTTTTCAGATCTGTGAAAAAAAATGAAAAACAAGTCCAGCTAGAAAATCAGAAAATTTTCTAGCTGGACTTGTTTTGCTGGATTTTCTTTAGTTTTATCAATCTGCTGCTCAGCATGCTCAGATTGACTTCAATCTTGCTTTTTCAGCTGTTAGTGCTGCCTGTAATGATAAGAGTTTAGTTTGAAATTGTGGAGCAACCAGTGTCGCCACTATATAAAGAGGTTTCTCCTCAATGCCTTTAAAATGCTCATCAAATCACTTAATTAGGGTTAACATTTATGCCTTTACACCTGCATCATTGCAGAATATCGTGTTTTCCCTTCAGAATTTTTTGTTGCATTGTTGTTTGAAACTAGGCTTAGCTAATTAATTTGTAAAGAAATGTAAACACAGATACCAAAACAAACATTCATAGAATATAGAATTACAAAAAACTGATTTGTAAAAATTTTAATATTAAGTATACATGTAAACACAGGCAAAAAAGATGTAATAAATATCTGACCAAAATTCAGAAATTAAGCTAAAATTATGTTGGATTTGCTAACTTTTTTCCGGAGCTAGATTTGTAAAAATGGCCGGATTTTGGCTGGGGCAGGAGCCGAAATCCGGTACAGCTCTAATCACAATCAAAAGTTAAGAGTTATTGTTGTTAAATACAGGTTAGCAAGATTTTGATAATTTTTTAGGAATATATTTGGATAGAAAAATTAAAATATATTTTTTTGTAAAAAATTTTAATATTTAAAAACTGTTTGTTGCATTTCATTTGTCTGAATTTGTTATCAGAGATTTAACTATGTTTTGTGAATCAGGGGAGATTTTTCACTTTTCAAAAAGATTTATGGCAAGAAGAAAATTGCAACTATTATTGCGCTTAAAATGATATTTTACAAAAATTCACGGCAATCAAAACACAGGAAGAAATACCCCTAAAAAACCCTCACTGCATTCCCCTGCCCTAGTTGAGGGCATAATAAATAAGAAAAGAAAATTAATTTTTGAAAAAAAAAAATTTTCAGGCTTCAAATTTTATCATAATATATATTTTGGCACTCAAGATACCACCACATAAAGTTTATGACCACCTCATTTTTTAAAATAGTTTTTAAAATTTTTAGAAAAATTGTAAAAAAAAAATCTGCTTTTTAATTTCTTTCATGGGAATTATTTCATGTGAACCTGACGGAAAGAATTATTTAAAAATTTAAAATAAAAATAACATAAACTGAAATTAAAAAATCTGAAATAAAAATAATATAAACTGAAAACCTCTAAAAAAGAGAAGTTTCCAGTTCTCTTGTGTCTCTGTGTGATTTAATCTGCATAAATGTTTCACAAAAAACCAACACTGTTTTTTTTATTTACATTGTGACTGTGTTAAGTTAAGAAGCATACAATAATTGCACTTTAGTACGAAATAGTGATTTTACCTACGCGTTAAGCTGTTTGTGTTATGCAAAAACTTTTTTCAATTGGAATATTTAAAAAGTCTTTTGAAATAGTTTATACGGAAAACATTAGGCAGTAATTAATTGTTGTAAAAAACATCTTTACAGCAACGGTTAAATTTTTTTTTTAATTTTAAAAAACTTTTAACAGTTTTTTAAAATTTTTTCAAAAACAGAAAAAAATTATTATAGTCAATTATAAAAAAAATTTAATAAATAAAAGCAAACAGATTTTTTTCAAAAACAGACAAAATTATCATAATAATTATTTAACAGATTTTTTTCTACTTTCCGTATAAAAAATTTTAAATTTAAATTTATTTCATTATTTTTTAATTTGTTATTAAATATTAATAAATTTAAATTTATTTTATTAAATTTAATTAAAATTTTTTCAAATCTAAAATGCTGTTTTACATTTTTTTTTTTTTACTTTTAATACTTGCAAATCATGATAATAATAATTCTTTTTTTTTTTTATCAAATTTAATTTAAGTTACTTTTTTACATTCATTTTACATTCAACTATTTTGTTTATTTATGTTTCAAATGAAAAAAATTTTCATCCTGTTAGGAAAGTGCTAATATACAAAAATTTTTAATGCTTATAACTGTATATAAACCATAATAAAGCCTGTAGGCAAAACAATTTTAGAGAATTTTTTAGTAAACTTTATATTATAAGTTTATGAAAAGATGATTTTTTTAGTTTTGAAACTGCTATTCAATTAAAGTTTTTTCTTTATTCAATTTTTAATTAATATTTTACATTGATAGTAGAATGAGATGTATGTATGTATTTATGTATGTGTGTATGCAACCCTCAGAATAAGGGTAGGCATTTGGCAATGCCAACCTAAAGTGTTTGAGGTTGGCAAAAAGTTGCTGACCTCATTTCTATGATTTATGGTAAGATCTTTGAATCAAATTTTTTTTGGCGACCTGATGCAACCTCTAGAAGATTAAGTGAAAAACTTTTGTAAACTTTTAAAACAGAGTTTAGATTTTTTAACTTTTTACAAAAACGAATTTCTAATATTTGAAAAAGTTTATTTGAATAAATTAAAAAAAAAAAAAAAAAAAAGGAAAAAATTGTTACGAAAACTGATCTTGTGAAAATTTTAACTATAGAAAACATATTTGTATAAATGCAAATGTTGTCGTTTTTAAAACTTTATGTAAAAATATATAATTTTTTTTTTTCATATTAATAACAAAAAACATCCTGAAATTTATTGAAAATTAAAGTAGTTTTAAGTGAATTTCCGGAATTCCCAGAAAAAACTCATCTATGGTATATATATATATATATATATATACATATATATATATATATATATATATATATATATATATATATATATATATATATATATATATATATATATATATATATATATATATATATATATATATATATATATATATATATATATATATATATAAAACCACAGTATGTATGTTTTTGTTTATGATGTATATATACAAACACAGTAAGTAATAATAATAAAAACAAAAACCTTTTGTGTATTTATTGATAAACTGTTCTGTCATCCGTGTGATTTTCACATAGCATGGTTTTAAATTGTAGCGATTTTTTAAATTTTCTAAGTTCCAATTAATGGAATTTTGTTCAGAATTTTTAACTATGTTTGCACAATCAGAACAAATGTACTCACGACCAGATGAAACCATTTTCTTAAAGCAAAAACTATGCACAGCACTTTGTCCACAATAAGAACAATGAACAAACATCCAATCACTAAATATAAATTTTTTTTTATGCTCCAAAAGAAAAAATAGCAACATATATAATATATTGAATTCAATAATACAACATATTTATATGTTGTATTATTGAATTCAATTAAGTAATATTTAAATATTACACAATGACAATGACACAATTATGAATATTGATAAATTTAACATAATAACTTCTTTAGTTGCAGTTAGGGAGCAGGGTGTCTTTTAAAATAAAATTATTTTACAATTGTTGTTGACAGAACAGTTGTCAATACAAAATCTGTAAATGGTGCTAGTTGTAACAAAGGGTTTCTCTGGTGGCTTTGAAAATACACATTAAAAACACTATCAGGGACATTCCAATAGCACTGTTAATACACTGATATCTTATAGCTGTTGATGGAATCAATTCATCTGAAAGTTACCTCAGAGTTCGAGAAACCAAAAACTGCAAATTGTTTTTACAAGCAGTAAACTGTACTTTAAAACTGTCCAACAATTAGGAGATAACAAAAATAATTGCATAACTACCAAGAAGAAAGCATACCCCATGAGTCAAGTCAAAAAGATCCAGCATTTATCATCCTAAGCAACAGATAATGTTATCAGATTTACATGAACGCCAATGTGATGAAAGAGGCTGGGCAACATAAACTAAGAGAGGCCTTTAACAAGACAGACTAAATATTAACATTTGCCTAAGGTCATAAACCTGGCCCCGTTCAAAACGATCACTTGCCATTTACTAATGATACATAATTTATTAAAGAAAATTGCCAATATAACATTTAATTTATCAAAGAATATAATATGACACATAATTTATCAAATCAAAAACATTGATCAAAAACCCTTGTTGCTACAAAAACACAAGAAACAAGGGTACTATTGAATGCTTTGAAGAAATATAATAAGAAAATATCTTAACAAAATTATGTCCAAGGACAAACCAAGTTGCCATATGGCAACAAAATAGTTCTTATGGAGCTGCACATCATATAACCTATGAAACAAATAAAAGCAAATAAAAAAAATCAATAAAAATTCAACTCTGATGCAGCTTTCAGGCCTTAAAAAGATAGCTATTTTATAATAAAAAATTAAACCATCTATGCAATAATTTACACACATACAAAAAAAAAATTAAAAAAGAAAAGAAAAGAAAATCCCATTCCTTGTATACTAGTCATAACCATAGCCTACATATTGTAACATTCAAATCCAGGTTTGCGCAACTTGTTTAACTATTTGTTTCTGTAAAACAACTGTAATCTGTTAAGGGATAATTTTTGAAATTTGTTTTGCTGTAATATAATTAGTACACACACACATAAAATTAAATTATATTGAAAATAATAAGCAAATATATATCAAAAAGAAGTAATACCATACAAAATACACACAACCTGCAGTGATTAACTCAAAAAACAAACAGAAAACTATGAAGGTGTCTAGTGAATAGAAAGCTTTTTAAATCTTAAAGCTTTTTAAATTTTTTAACTGAATTTATATAAAAATATGCCAACTACTAAGTTAAGTGCCTAAAATATCTGCACATAACACAATTAATATGAAAATTACATACCCATCTGTAGTAGAATGTTGATTGCCAAATTCACAAAAACATGTTTTGATATCACATTTATCGTACCTGTGAAGCAGATCATCATAAGCATCATTTTCTTCCCAAACAGCATCTCTAAAGATTTTAACCTTCAACATTTGTATTGTAAAACTATTAAATTTCTTTAAAGGAGCTGTCCATAAATTGAGTCAACAAAGTAGGGGAGGGGGGGGAGTCTGATTATTTTTTTTTAATTTGTTGACAGGGGGAGGGAGGTGGAGGTCAAGATAAGTTGATGTCAACAATGTTACTTTTTTTCATAAATTTAATTACATATAAAAAGGAAAATTAGGCAGCGTTTGCAGTCCTGTGTTACATACTCGCTAAACCTTCAGTATTTTAATAAAGCTATTTATGTTCCTACTTTTTAAAAACAGTATTGTACTTTAAGCCGACAGAACTAAATAAACACATACAAGATGATTACTGCAATGCAAACAAAAAAGATATATGTAAGTACTTGGTCTGCACTATATTATTTAAACGTTTATACAGAGGGTTGGCAACCTGGGGTTGATGCGGCTCTTTAACTCCGTGCACAAATATTAATAAAATATTGAAATAAAGATTTGGTAGATAATATATAAAATATAGTAATAAATAAAAAATGGTAATAACGTTTAAATAATATAATGTAGACCATGTGCTTACATAAATCTTTTTTGTTTGCAAAGTAGACGAAAACTTTGTAAATTATAACTTTTGGCTCTTCTGTCTCATTAGGTTGCTGACCCTTGGTTTATAAAACTTTTTAAATGCAATTTTCGTTTTACTAAACTCTATAAGAAATAATTGACTTTTACTGTAAAATTGAATCTTTTTTGTTTTAGTTGTAAACTATTTTATTCAAAATATGGTTGCTGCTCTTTTTCCATTTGAATTTTTTTTTTGAAAGAAGGTGGGGGAGGGGTGTAATTAAATGTTGACGTAATTTTCTAGGGGAGTCTCGAGAAGTTTGACAACTTGTTGACAAGGGGGAGAGCAAAGGTAAAAAATTTTGGTAAATTGTTGACGCAATTAATGGACGCCCTAAAGTTTATGTTACTTTTATTATCAACTTCTTAATAACTAAGTAGCTCCACATAGTGTCTTGAGATACATATCTCAAATAAGTATTTAGCTTTATTATGTTTTTAACCAAATTATCTATAATCGATAAATTATTTTACTTTTAAACTAATTTTCCGCAAGATTTTCTAGAAACAATTTTACTTAAAAACAAATATTGCTTTGCTGGATTTATTTATGGAGACTTGAATGCAGTACTAGATTAGTGATAGAACTTTTGGACCCTTTATTGAGACATTTTATAACAAAAAAAATTTAACAGCAAAATTTTTCTTAAATATTTTCTAAATTAATTTTTAAAAACTATGAATAAAATTTTAAAATTTCAGTTTCAAGTTTTGAGAATATATAACAGCCTATTCCTATTAATGTTGGTTAAATTTTTTTTTCCCACATCTTCACTTCTAACAAGGCTGCTATTAGAGTTGGAAGTTACTGGGAAAAAAAAGATGAAGTTTATAGAGCAAGATAACAATTAACAGACACCTTAAAAGATTGCAAACTATATGAATCAGGAAAGCAAGGTGAAGGAAGCGAATTTTAAAAAACCGATGTTCGAAAAAAACTTATGAATAATCAAAATAAAAAGGATGAAACTTAATTGAATGGCGAGTAACATAATGAATTTTAGTAGATGGCACAAGAGACACTAGCTCTTTAGAGTAGTGCTCATAATAGTATTTGTAGAAAAAAGAAATAGAAGCAACATTACGACGATGTGATAATGGTTGAAGGTTGGCTGCAAGAGCTGGTCCAACTATGTTTACAATGCGTTTTTGCATCTTGTCCAAAAGAGAAAGGGCATGATTAGAAGATCTGCCCCAGATATGGCAACAGTATTCCATACAAGGCCAAATTTGAGATTTATAGAGATAGAGAATAGAATCCAGAGTAAGAAAGTCTCCAGCTCAATAAAGAGATGCAATTTTATCAGATGCTAATTTTGCAACGGTTTTGATATATGGTTTCCAAGAAAGATCAGAAGTAAGAGTTAATCCTAGAAGATGAAGGGTAGATGACTCATCGAGTACATTACCATTCATAATAATAGGAAGGTCTAAATTATTGCAATAACGATTGGCTGGAAAAAAAAAAGAGTTTTATCTGAATAAAAGTTTACCAGCCACTGTGAGCCCCATGCTGTAGCAGAAGTGAGATTCTTTTCAAGCTCAAATGCCCCATCCAAGCAATCAGAGAGATTTGCTTTTATATCATGACAAGAATAAATGGTAGTATCATCAGCGAACAATGCCACCTTAGATGTGAGAATATCTGGATTATCGTTAATGTAAATTAAGAAGAGTATAGGGCCAATAGTTGAACCTTGAGTAACCTGTGAGTTTACAGAATAAGAAGAAAAGTGCTGTCCATCAAAAACAACTTTTATACTACGATTGGAAAGGAAGTATACAATAATCTTAAAGATGTTTCCAGATACACCAAAATGTCAAGAGCGATGGCCTTAACCTCTCCACCTTTATCTAATGCACGATAAAACCTATCAGTTATTACTGTAAACAAATCAGCTGTAGAACGAGAAGATCAAAATCCATATCATTGATCAGAAAATAAGTTTTTAAAATCAAGACGAGAGATTAAGTGTTTGTTAATTGAAAATTCAAAAATCTTGCTTATGATAGGAAGAAGACTAATGGGACGATGGTTAGGAGTCAGATATATCACTATACAATGTAAAACAATTTTTTTTTTTTAATAAAATGTAATTCTGATTAAAATTAATCCTTTTTTTTGCAATTTTTCCTTTGTATGATAAAAATAGAAACATTTCAAAATAGTTTCTATTTTATTTTATAGTCATGCTGTTAAAAATTAAAAATTTAATCATTTTTTTAAAGTTATTTTGTCAAACATCTTTTATTTGAATACAATATGTATTTTTTTATTTTGTTTACAAAAACACATTTAGCAAAAACTATAATTTTACATCACTCACTTTTATTATCTGGTACCAAAAAAGTCACTAACTGGTTAACAAACTATTATTATCTGGTACCAAAAAAGTCATAAAGTTACTGCTTCTAGAAAATTAAATTTGCTACTAAATAAATTTTTAATAATTACTTTAAAAGTTTACGATCAAAAAACTATTAACAGTTAACTCAAGGTTGCCACTTTGTATCACAAGATATCTCTAATAACAAATGCAACAATAGATTGTCTATAATAATTATGTAACACTAATTCTGTTTTCTATACATATTTTGTATTATATATATAATGCTAAAAGTAATATTAAATATCACCTTTGAGGGATATATATGCCAAACATCGACATTTCATTTCGAAATTGCTTTACATTGTTGCATGTTGGACATTTAAAGAAATAACCACTTGCCAAAGCTTGTTTCTTTTCAAAACACAATATAAAAACTACAAAGCATGTTTTTATGTAAAATAATTATTTTTATATAAAAGTATTTATTTAAATGTATTGGATTTCTACAATTTCTATTAAGAATTTCTATGGAAATATTTTTAGAAATTTTATTAGAATTTCTATTACAGCAATAAAAAGTGATTTTTAATATATATTTTTTTTACAAGAGCTTTAAGTTTCTGTGCCAGATAGCCGTTAATTCTTTAAAAAAATTGTTTATTAAATACAAAATTTGATTTTATTTTTGTTACAAGAGATCGTCCATAAATTACATAACGCAAACTTTTACAATAAACAAAACAAAAAAGACCAAAAGTTTTCCCTTGTAGAGTCTTAATTTAAATAAAAAATCAAAATAGCCCATTAAGTTTAATGAAAATTACCGCATAAAAGACACTAATAACTCATACTTCTGTTTTTAAAATATATTTTGTGTTCTATAATTTATGGACGATCCCATTTGCTTGTAATGTTAATGTTACAAAAATATATGCATAACAAGCTTTATTTTACTGTTTATTGCACCATACTGTTTATTATACTATTACTGTTTATTGTGTAATAAAAAAACTCTTTAAATGGTTGTTTTCTTCACACTAGCTATACTTATTTATTAACAACTTTACTTTTTTGATAAAAAACTTGACAAATAAAGAGTTATAGAAGTTTTTATGGCTTTATAAAATGTTTTTATGGCTAATAAAAAATGTTTTGTTTCTTATTGTAAGAAAATCATAGATCATCCAGGTCATTTTTTAAAAATCCGGAAAATTGCTTGGATAAAAAATCCGGAATATATTTTTCTTTTAACTTTGCTTTTAGTTGAGTTGTTTAAAAATTTTTTTTCAAACTTTTCATAATTTTTCTATGATTGATGAGTGAAAAAACTTAAAAAACAAATATATTACAAAAATATATACCTAAACTTGTATTTACAGAATATGTTTTGAATATCCGGAAAAATTGAAATAAAAGTTTAATAAAATATACAAAATTTAACAAGTTTAACAATTATGACAACAAAAAACCACAGGAAGTTTAACAATTACGACAACAAATTAAGATTCCTCAGTAAAAATTTTTTTTAGTAAAACATTTAATTGTTCACTATATTTTTTATTTTGCTCAAATTGAGACAAATTTAAATATTTCTTTACAACTAATATATAAATTATATAATACATTACATAATATAAAAATTATTGTGCAATAATTTAGTGTATAGCAATTTCATATTATATCTGAGTTTAAGCAAAATAAAAAAAAGCAGTTATAAAATTCAAAAAGAATGTTTTATTTTTTCAAATGTATTTTTAAAAATGTTTAATATTATAAACTGAATTTTAAATAATAGCTTTTATAGGAAGACATAGCATTAACTAAGAAAAAGATTTACAACAGAATATTATCAATTTATTTTTTCATGATGGCATTTTTACAAGAAACTGTTTTTTTAATTTAAGGAACTAATCAATCATTCTTATCTAATTAAAAACATTTGCATTTCAATTTTTTTTTTTTTTTTTTTTTTGCAATAACTGTGTCTTGTCTAAAAAAGCATTGCAATTTATTAAAAAAAAAAAAATTAAGAAACGCATTTTTTAAGAGAAAAAGTCAATCTGAAACTCAAACTTTGTCTTTTTTATTTGATGTTTGCCCAAAAAAATATAGTTTGCACAAAAGTTTTTAATTTTTCTAATCAATATCTATAAAGAGAAAAAAAGAGGAAGTGGTTTATATTTTTTTAAAAATTATACTTTTGAGAAAGCCGCCAATTGCTGCCACAAATTGCTCTCATAAACCACTTTAGAAGAGTGTAGCCTTGGTTAACTTTAGGGGAGTGTGTGTGCATATGTGTGTGTGTGTATTTTTATATTTTCTTTATTTTATAGAAATTCTATTAAAATTCCTTCCTATATATCAAATACAGCTATACTCACAAAAATTTGTTTTAAATATTTTTGTTAGTAATATAGCAAATATTACTGACAAAAATATTTAGATATTAAAAAATGAAAAAAATAAATAAAAAGAGGAAAAACCACTGAAACAAAGAAATCACTAAAAGATATTGAAAAAACTACTTGAACACATTCTTTGTGAGCATATTTATTTTTGCAGCAAGGCATTTTCAAGATATCACAACCAGTTGATGTTATTGACTCAAGGCACACTGGACAGTCAATGGTAGCTGTAGAATTAATAGCAGACATGTCATGATAGCTGCGGTGAATCTTGCAGAAGGAACTAATTGAAAAATAATATTGTAAATGAGAAGTATAATAAGAAACTTTAAATGATTTTAAAAATTTACAAAATTTTTTTTACTTGAATCTGCCTTTAAACATAAATTGTACATCATTTATCAACCCACATTTAAAATGATACACATAACGGCAAGATTTAACTCCACATCCCAAACTTGCACCAGGCATATGACAAAACTTACATTTCTAAAATTAAACAAAGAAAATATAATAAAATGAAACAGTTTAAATAATACATAACAAGCTTTCCCAGGAAAGACGTGCGGTTTTTTGTCTTTTATAACCACACGCGAGTTTCTTATTTTAGACAACTTGAACACGGCCGTTCGCAAATTTTATAATAATCAATGCTGAAAAAGTTTTAAAAATAAAAAAAAACAAAACTAACAAAATAAAAAAAGATTAAAATAGAAAAAAATCAAAACACATTAATAGTTTAAATTATTTGTGTACTGTTTTTATTTTTGTTTCTTTAGAGTAGCTGTTACATTCAGCAACAAAATTAGATAAGGCGAAGCAAAAAAAAAAAAAAAAGAGTCTACAAATAAAAAGAATGATTTTCCTTTTCTTAACTTTTTTTTAAGAGGATAGCAAAAATATAAATTGCAATGTGTTTGTAAAATATATTTGAATAATTTTAATGTAACAACAATAATAATGTAATAACAAGGGTTGAATTAAGCGAATCCGAAACGCAAAATCTGGAAAAATATCTAGTATTCAAAATTTTAGTTAATACAAAACCGTGTTCCTTGAAGGAACACGGTTTTGTATTAACTAAAATTTTGAAGCAGTTAAAAAGATTTCTCTTATGGTTTGAAGCAGTTAAAAAGATTTCTCTTATGGTATATCCAGAAGAATTACAAAATATGATGTTCGATGATATTAAAACTGTTGTTATGTCCCATTTGAGACCTCAAAAACGACTAATTATTGCTGAAAGAGTTCGATTTTTAGCATTAAAACAGCAAAACAATGAAAACATTGTATCATATGCACAAAGATTACGCGAAGCTTCACGCTTTTGCAACTTCGAAAAATTGGGAAGAGATGGCTAAAGTGCGGGAGATGATTTGATTCAAATGAGATTGATTGATGGTCTCCAATCTTCTGATCAGAGAGTTAAAGCTCTAGAAATGATACAGAGTGGAGAATCGCCTAAACTAGGAGCATGTATTGATTTTATCAGGCAACTGGAGCAAATATCCTGTTTTAGTATACAAAACAACATCGAAAACAGCATAGACCTTCCTTCAGTTAATTACATTGATAAAAATAAACAAAGAATGATTAAATGCAAGTATTGTGGCCTTCAACACCCACCTAGGAAATGCCCAGCATTTGGGAAGAGTTGTAAAAAATGTGGAAAGCTGAACCACTTTAAAAACATATGCAAAGCAAACACTAAATATGAAAAAATAGTAGAGGAAATAGAGAACGATGATGCTAGTGTGTATTCCATTAACATGAATGATACAAACTCAGAGATTAGTGTAAAAATTAATGACTACAATATAAAAATGCAAGTTGACACCGGAAGTCAAGTCACAATTATTCCAAAAAATTTTTGGGAACTAATGTCTAAACCGAAATTACAAAAATGCTACCTTCGCCTGAAACAGTTTGATGGCACAGTTATAAAAGTCCTAGGCGAATTTGAGGCAACTTTGGAAACCGAATCAAAAATGAATATCGTACGAATTATTGTTGCAGACTGTACAAAAAACCATGGTCTAATTGGTATGTATGTATTATATATCAACGCCACAAAATTAGTAAATAGTATAGAACCTCTTGTTCATGGGTGTTTAATTAATTACAAAGCAAATATTCTGTTAAAAAACAGCGTACAACCAACTTATTTTGAATCTCGACCACTTCCAATCCACATAAGACCACTAGTGGTAGATAAACTTAATGGAATGATACAGCAAGGGTTGCTTCAAAGGGTTCCTTCTGATGGAAGCAGATGGGCTTCACCGCTGTGGTTGTTAGAAAAACAGACGGAGATTTACGCATTTGTGCGGATTACAAAATAGGTGTTAACCAAAAAATATGCTCAGACTCATATCCCATCCCAAACATTGAGACCGTATTTCATAAAATGGCAGGGATGAAATATTTTGCTAAAATTGATCTCAAGGGAGCTTATCATCAAATTGAGATGGACAAAGAGGCACAAGAAATAACAACAGTTAATACCCCTATTGGATTATTAAGATGGACTTGTTTACCTTTCGGAATAAAGACTGCAAGTGCGATATTTCAAAGAGCGATAGAATCTGTTGTTGGCGATATTATTCCCAATATGATTATATTTCAAGACGATATATGTGTCGGTGCTGAAAATGCTGAAGAACTCAAATCGAATTTAAATAAAATATTGAGCAAATTGAAGGAATCGGGAATGAGCATAAATAAACGAAAGTCAGTAAATGAAACAAAAAGTCTTTCATTTTTAGGATATGAACTGTCAGAAAAAGGAGTTACCTCAGATCGTAATTTAGTCAGCAAAATACTTGGAATAAGTCCTCCTAATAATAAAAAGGAACTCGAGTCATTTATAGGATTAATAAACTTTTATGGTCGACACATTGATAAATATGCTGAAAAAATTTTACCTTTAAACAATTTAAGAAAGAAAGGAGTTATATTGGAATGGAGGAAGGAGCATCAACAGGCATTTGAATTGCTAAAAAGAAACCTTTGTGAAGAACCCGTAGTAAAGGTTTATGACATCAACAGATGCTAGTGAGAAAGCTATATCTGGAATACTTTCACAGAATGGCCACCCGGTATTATATCTCTCACGAACTTTATCAGACGCTGAGACAAGATATTCTAATATTGAGAGAGAAGCTTTAGCTATTGTATGGTCTGCTCACAGAGCTAGGCATTTTCTGTTGGGTAGAAAATTCAAATTAATATCAGATCACAGGCCATTAGAATTTATATTTGATAGTAACAAAGAATTGCCTAAAGTCACATCCGCTAGAATTTTAAGATGGGCCATACAAATGATGGCATTTGACTATGAAATAAGCTACAAGAAGGGAGAAAACATTCCTCATGCTGACGCATTATCGAGATTGTCCTTTCTACCACAAGATGAAGAGAAAGACCAAGAAACATTTATACACTTAGTCGAGTCAGATATAGTGAACCTTGAGCAAATAATAAAAGAAACAGAAAATGATAGGGTATTGATGGATATCAAAACCAGAATTAGGAAGAATAATTGGAGCAGATGCTCGGTAACAGAAAGACCTTATAAATCTATTAGGAATAAACTGACTATCGAAATAGGAATTGTGTGTAATGGTGACCTCATTGTACCTCCTAAGACAATGAGAAAGATCTTCATCAAATCGATCCATGATGATATACATTGTGGCACAATACAAACGCAATGTAGATTAAAATTAGAAGCCTGGTGGCCTGGCTACTGTCAAGATGTTGAAGAATATGTGAAAAACTGTGAAAAATGTGCCGAAAAAAAAGTGAAGAAGGAAAGGACATTACATACATGGCCAAGTGAAAATAAACCTTGGTGTAGAGTACATATGGATCATGCACATGTACAGGGTATCGGACTGTTTTTGATTTTAGTAGATTCTTTTTCTGGATGGCCGGAAGTTATTAAGGTAAATAACCGTGAAGCGACCACTGTAAAGGCAGTACTACAAAGTGTTTTTTCAAGAAATGAAGTTCCAGAGGTTTTAGTATCCGACAATGCTGCGGAATTTCATGATACCACCTTACACCAGTGGCTAAAGAAAATAGGTTGCGTACCTTATAAGACTCCACCTTACCATTCTCAACCTAACGGAGCAGCTGAAAGAATGGTAGAGACAGTTAAGATGGGTTTAAGAGCTTATTCACCGGAAAAAGGTTTATTATGTGGATATTTAAGCAGAATGCTTTTAAGTTACAGAACAATACCTCATGCAGGAAGATCAAGGAGTCCTTCCGAGATAATGGGAAGGCAGTTGAGATCCCCTCTCACCATGAGTTTCGAAAGTGGAACACCTTTATGGTACCGTCAAAAACCAGATTCTAAACCTGAACCTGCCTCATTCATCTCTCAGGCAGGTCTAAACACTGCGATCATATTAAGGAATAACTCTTCGGGTATGTTAGCACACTGTGACCAAATAAACAAACGCCTAAATGAGCCTAGTATACTTATGAATAATGAAGACAGTATGCGGTATGATCATACCAATAATGAAAAAATCGATCCATGCAATAGTGATAAATCTAATATGTCCGAACTACGTGTTACTAAAGAAGAACCTAACCAGAATCGAAGAAGTACTCGGTCGACAAAGGGGCAAAAGCCAATACGTTTCAGGGATGTGAAGCCGTGAACCTTAGTCATATGCGGACAAATAGGAACAATGTTTTTATATATATATACATACGTGGCTATATTAAAATGTATATTAAAGATGACTTACTTATAAGAATATATATATTTAAGTATAGTACAGCGTTTTATTAACGACACAACATTAATATTAAAAATAAAATAATATCTAAAAATAATGAATCTTTTTATATAAAACCTACTAATTTTGAAGATCTACGAGCTTCCTTTATAACATCATTTATTAGAAATCCATCAAAACCTTCGTTGTCATAACCATTCTGAGCCAAACCAGCAGAAAAATACTTTACAAGGAATGAGAAACAAAGTTAGTATATATTACTTTGTAATATTTATTTTATAAAAATTATTTAAAATAAATAGAATAAAAATAACAAAAAAAAAGTTACTTAAGTAAAAAAGTTAACAGAAGACAAAAAAAAAAAGTTAAAAAAATTGACAGAAGACCAAAAAAAAAGTTAAAAAAGTTGACAGAAGACAAAAAAAAAGTTACTTAAGTAAAAAAGATAACAGAAGACAAAAAAAAAAGTTACTTAAGGTAAAAAAATAAAAAATAAAAAAAAAGGTAACAGAAGGCAAAAAAAAAAAAAAATAAAAAGTAAATTTGTGAAACAGTGATTAAAAAAAGAACTGTAAATTTTATTTCAGCAGTCAAGAGAAAACATGCAAATATGGAAAAATTATTAGAACTAAAGCACATTAGAGTATTAAAAAAACCCCAAGAAATTGAGGGAATATTACAGTACAAAAAAAATATTTTTTCAAAAAAGTTTTAAAGAAAAATAATTAATAAAAAAAAAAAAACATAAAAAGTTGTAAAGATCACAATCTAATAAAAAATAAACTCATTAGCAGAAATATATAATAGCAAAAGTCTTAAAAAGTACTAATCTTTTGTAACACTTTTTAATTGAAAGTTGTTTTACTTATAATTGCAAACAATTATAAATAAAACAATGTAATAAAAATGAACATATAAACATTAGTAAAAACAATGTCAAAAAGACTTTATTAAATATCATCTGAAAATAATTAAATTTAAATATTTATAATAGCCTGACAGTTATTCACCTACACTTTTTGTAATAACTTGACAGTTATTCATATACACTATTTATAATAGCCTGACAGTTGTTCATCTACACTATTTATAATAACCTGACAGTTATCAACAGCTAAACATTAAATACAAATGTTACTAAATCAAACTTTTAAAACCAGTAAATACAGACCACAAAATATTGTTTTTTATTATTAAACAAAATATTATTACTAATAAATATCTCATTTTTATTGAATATAAATTTTCATTAGGGTTAAACAGATTTCTGGAAAAATGATACTAGATAGTTATTTTTTCAAAAAAGTAACTAATATTTTCTGATTTAATAATAATAATAATAATAATAATAAAATATAAACAAAACACGACAAATTCACAATGTAATAATAACAAAAAAACACAAATATTAATAACAACAAGAATAATATTTTTAATAGTCATAATATTATTATAATTACTAAAATATAATGACAACTAAAATAAATAATAGCATAATACTTGTTATAAAAATAAGTTAAGGACGACGATAAAAAGATCGCCGCCAAATAATTCCTAATAATACCTAACTTAAAAAACCAAGCCAGAGCCATAGTAGATTTATTATATTATTTGTTAGTCAATTATTGCAGATTTCTCTTACTTTAAAGGCAAAATTCTACAATAAAAACATAAATTCTACAATAAAAACATAAATTCTACAATAAAAACATAAATTCTACAATAAAAACATAAATTCTACAATAAAAACATAAATTCTACAATAAAAACATAAATTCTACAATAAAAACATAAATTATGATCAAACTATGATTTTTACTCTTTTACCTGCTTTCTTTATCAAATACATCATTATAAAGTAAAAGAACAATTAATGATCACTTGTGTAACATTTTCAACACTAATTTATGCTGGTTTTTGCATAATGTGAATAAATTCCTAAATATCAGTATATTAACACAAAACAAAATAAAAATTTATGAATTAAGAATGAAAACATACTAAACAAAACTGATGTGCTGCAATGTTTTTGAATTTATCAACAAAGAACTTCCCACTTTTCCCATCCTCACCACAACTGTGACAAAAACAACATGCTAAAAATAATAAAAAACTAAATTAACAGAAAACAATAAAATACTCTAATAACTAAATAGCACAAAAATAAAATAATTAGTTTGTTTTAAAATTATTTTTAAAACTATAGTGTTAATACCATGGTTTAGATCAACTAAATTTGTAGGTGTTCAAGTATTCATACTATGGACTGGATCCACTATATTATAATATTTATACATTGTAGAACCACATAACTTAAATATTTAAAACTCAACCATTAAAAAAAACATACAAAGGATCCTACAAAATTAACTAGGACTAATTTCACACGAAAAAGTATCTTTATAACATACTTTATTTTTCTACCATATATACTATGATTTTGGGAGCTGTACACACATACATTAACTGAAAAAGGGTTTTATTAACACTGGACTTGTATGTGTGTATAAAACTATGAATGCATGCTTATATAACATCTCTGATGTCACAATGATATAGCCTGCTGCCGGGGGCTTCAGTACATACATCAACTATCTTATAGCCTGGTGCCCCATTGTTTGGCATGAGGCAGCAATCTTTTCTTTCATTATTTTTGTTTTTTTTCTACAATTTCTGAAAACAATGTATGCTATTAAGTTAAAAACTAGTAAAAACTTGTTATCTAATGTATTTTATAAATAGAGTGCTTGATGTTATTAAAGAACAGAGCAATAATAAATTAGTAGAAACACTATAAATTAAAACTTTATATTTCTTCTACAGTCTGTTTCATCGTCTGTAGGTTTATCTTCCTAATAAATGTACTGCCAGAATTTGATGAAGACAAAATTTCTGACAAAAGGAAGAAAAAATTATGATATTAGAACACTCTAAAGTTTCTTTAATGGCTGATAGATTTTATCTATCAAACAGACAAAGATTTGGGATCATTTTAGCTGTAGCTGAAGCATTAGATCACAAGATTTCAAAAAGCTGATCAGGTAATAAAATTCAACGGAAAGTTTTAGATAAAATTAAAAAAAGATCTACTTCACCCAAGTGGTTTTTCATTAGGTGAGATTCAAAGCTGCTATCTGAGGAAATGGTAAAACAGAACACTTGGCTATTGTAGGGAAAACAATAGGAACAGGAAAACCAAGTGCGGTAAAGGCCTCGAAACTAGAAAAACACTTACGGCAATATTTTGACATATTTCCACAAGTGTTTTTCACATCTCCATTATGTACTTTGGTGTGCCTGCCAATAGTAAATGATCAGTGCCAGGTATACATAAATTTTATCAATACTTTATATGAAAAATTATTAGCAGTGGTTTGTTACTTTATTTAAAACCTTTTAAACAAATGATTGTCTCTTGAAGGAATTTTTTATAAGAATTTGAAGTTCCAAACATAATTAAAAACTTGATTTAAATAATCTTAGCTTAAAAAGTTTTATAGTTTTATTTTAGTTATTTTTTTGTGTGTTTTAGATTTAGTTTTTTCTTTTGTTAAGATTAATAAAGAAAAGAATATCTAAAAAAGCTTTTTCAGCGCATTTTTAATTTTAAAACTTTTAAAACATGTTAACAGTTGTGATCACAGGGCTTAATTTAACAGTCGGACACCAGACATTGACCGGCTAAAACCTTAGATTGTCCGATCAATTTACAAAGTCATCGGACATTTTATCCGGCAGGATTTTTAATTCTTTAAAATAAAATTTTATTCGTTGATTTGAAATTGACAAAATTAAACTTAATGTAAACTATTAGACAAACTTAATAATGGAGGCATTCATTCCCAAAAAAAAGCGCTGTTATTAATTGTAGTTTGAATGACTGTTCTTTAACAGTTTTATTGTTATATTATTAAATTTAAAATTATTGCTTATTTAAAACGATCGCAAAATAGATATTATAAAATGCGAATGAGCAAATAAACTTTGAAAAAGCGCCTAATCTAAGAAATGTCGCATTATTTAATTCTACTGATATTTTAATTATGTAAAAGTTTTTTCAATAAGTCAAAAGATGAGATTACAATTATGAAAAGAAGCTTAAAAAAAAAGTTTAATTATATCAAAATGGGGAAAGTTGGTAATCATTTATTTTTTTATAAAGTAGGTAATTATTTATTTTTTTATAGAGTGAATAAACTCTCATTAAAAAAATATTTTGTTTTACAAAGTAAGTCAAAGTATGTTTGATTGATTACTGCAAACGCTGTGGACACCGAAAAGCAAAGAAAAACTGGCAGTTTTAAAAATTTGATAATAAAAAATTTTACAAATGTTTTTTTAGAAGCTGAGATCTCATTGATGGAATATTTAAAAAAAAAAAAATTAAGATAAACATTTAAACATTAACGTTATGATCATCCAAATCATTCTATTTTAGCTTGAGTGGTTTCTCGGTGGTATCCTGGTCCTACTCGAGTTTTCCGATTCTTTATTCATTATTTGTTTTTTAAACTATATCTTTATTTGTATTTTTTTTTTATTTCTTTAAGGATTGTAATATATATATATATATATATATATATATATATATATATATATATATATATATATATATATATATATATATATATATATATATATATATATATATATATATATATATACATATATATATATATATACATATATATATATATATATATATATATATATATATATATATATATATATATATATATATATATATATATATATATATATATATATATATATATATAAAAGACTAAAAAGTTCTAGCTTTATAAAAATTGTCTGCCAAAAAATAAATAATAACCTGTAGAACTCATAAAATTTTCTTTGTTGAATTGATCGAATTTTAATGACATGCAGCTAGTCGAATTTTTAAATTAAATAATAGCCCGTAAATATCATATTGCGTTTGATTTAAGTAAAATTTGATTTAAGTAAAAGCGAAGTTTAAATTTTTTAATGTAAAGTTTAAAAATAATATGTTTATCTTAATATTTAATATATTTAAGACATTATTATACTATATTACTATAACAAACTTGCTTTCTTGCCGTTTTTATTATTGATAAAAATAGTTACATAAACGCCATATAAATACCTTTTTGGAGCTAAAAGTGGAGCTTATGCGCAAAATTGACGCTTAGCATATTATATTTTGTTAAGTTAAAAAATTTACATAACTTTTATAAACGGGTAATGCAATTCAATGTAAATAACAAGGTTTTCGAGAGAAAAAAACTCAATAAAACTTCAAGTCTATCTAAAAAAATGCCTATCTAAAATAAAATAAAAAGTCTATCTAAAAAGTCTATCTAAAATAAAATAAACTGGGAAAACATAAGATTGGATAATTGGGTTTAATAATTTCAATTAGATAATTGGGAAATTAATAATTTATGTAATGTTTTTGTTTTTGTTTCTTTAGAGTGGTTGTTACATTCAGCAACAAAATTAGATAAGGTGAAGTAAAAAATATAAAAAAACAATAAACTTACGAATACAAAAGTAATAACACTCTAGTGACTAACTGTATTCTAAAAGTAATAACACTATAATAGTATTATTACTTCTATAAGGCACTTATAACTTTTATAATTCATTCTTTGTTCAAATAAGATATGTTCTCCCAAATTTTAATTGAAGTAGAAAAGCATCTAGAAAAATATAGTGGATATCCAAATAATATTTAAAACTTAAGTAACTTATAAAAATGTAAGCGTAACTTTATCAAAACATAATGTATAAAAAGTTTAGCATTATTAAAAACGTTACTAATGATACGTAAAAACGCGCGTTAACTTTTGAATCAACCAATAAAAACTTTTAATAGTTGATTTTAAAATTAAAGGCGCCTTTATACGAACTATTAGTGACATTTTTCATAATACTAGATGATTTTCTACTTTAATTATTGTTTGGAATTATTAATGTTGTTTGAAGAAAGAATTAACTTTAAAAGTAATAAGTGCTTTATAAAAGTAATAACACTATTATAGTTTTATTACTTTTATAATGCAGTTAGTGATGAGAGTATTATTACTTTTGTAGTCGTAAGTTTATTGTTTGTTTTGTTTTTATGTTTTTCTTGCTAACAAAATTATAATAACTTGCTCCTTGAAAACAAAGTACACAGCTTTGCATAAAATAAAATTTTGAAGATCAGATATTTTTCCAGGGTTTGCAAATCGCGATCGCTAGATTCAACCCTTGATATATACAATAAAATATATGTTACATTAAAATTATACAAATATATCTTACAAACAGATGACAATTTATATTTTCGCTTTCCCCTTTTAAAAAAAGAAAATATAGGAAAAACATTATTTTTTATGTTTAAAACCTTTTTTTTTTTTTTGCTTTGACTTACCGAATTTTGTTCCCGAAAATAATAACTACTATGAAGAAACAAAAATAAAAACAGTACACAAATTATTTAAAGTATTGTTATTATTATTTTCTATTTAAGTTTATTTTAAACTCCTATTTTGTTATTTTGTTTTTAAAACTTTGGTCAGCAACGCATAAAAAAAAAACATGCAAACGGCCATGACCAAGTTGTCTAAAATAAAATAATCACACATGGTCATACAAGACAAAAAACCGCACGCTTTTCCTGGGAAGGCTTGTATGACATCATTTTTGATTATCTTTAAGAAAAACAATTGTTTATGTTTTTTAGTAAAATTAATATACTTAAAATAGCTTTGTTTATGTGTAAAAACATTTTGTAACATTTTTTTGTCATTTTATATATATTACAGTAGAATCCCGTTAAGTCAAACCCTGGATAAATTGGACTTTTACTAAGTCACACAAATTTTTAATTCCCCTCAAACTCTCTATATATACCTGAAGCTTTGCTTAACTCGGACATTCGCTAAAGTGGACAAAATATATATACCCGTCTCAGAGTCTGAGTTAACAGGATTCTAGTATATTTCATTACTTATTTAAACTTTTAGTTTTCAAAAACATTTTTAATCTTTAGTTTTTTAATAAAATAAAAAAAATTTAAACTTTTTTTTATCAAAAAAAAAAAAAAAAAAAAAAAAAAAAACAAAGGCAGTTAACATGTTTTTTACAATAATTATGACTTAATGTTGTCTAAATAAATGCCGCGTTAATGATATCAAGAAACAATTTAAATATTTCAATAAATAAATGTTTTTGGCTATACGTAAATTACTAAACGCATTAGTGAAATCACCATTTTGTAATTAAAATGTGTACAGCATAACCCTTTTTAACAAAATCTGTTTATATATGAAGGATGTTTATTTACAATAAAAAGATTTCATTAATATTCAGAAAAGTGCCTTTGACAAAAAACATAAAATATTTTAATATATACACTTTTACATATGAAAAATATTTATTTGGGCAAAAAATTCTTTCTTTCACTCATTTTTAGATTTATGAAAAGGTGAATTAGGTGCATATAACCAAGTATTCTGAAAGTGTCTCGATTTAAATGCATATAACCAATATTCTTAGCATCAACTAGTGATCCTTACATAATAAAAAGTAAACAATAATAAATGAACAAAAATAAAGATACTTACGAATATTTTCTTCTGATAGATTCATTTATCAACCAGCCAAAGATTTTATTACAAAAAATACTTTAAATGTGAACTTTTCACAGCAAAAGTATAACATCTATTTTATGTTAAAAAAAATAATTAAACAAACTTCATAAATTTTAAACTCTCAATATATTTGAAATGATCTTTGATACTTTAAAATAATTCTTTAATAAAATTTAAAATTATAGTTTAAAAGTAAACAAACAAACAAACAAAAAAAAAACAAGTAAAAATCTCTTAAACCAGCAGTGAATATATTTATGCAAATTTAAAAATCTATTGTGTATCAAAATTCTTTTATTTGAGTTTCAAATATCATACTTTTATGAAGTATCATAGGAGTCATGAAATAAAAATAAAAGAGTATCATGAAATATCATAAGAGAATCAAACTTTTATGAAAGCTTTTCTAATAATAAAAGATTTTTTTTTAAATGGTATTTGATGACATTTGAACAGTAATTTTTATGTCTTTCAATATACTTAACATTATTCTTTAATTGCATTTTATTCCAAAATTTTGTTTCTATTTTTATATAAATTTTATTTCTATATCTTTGAAGTAGATCAATAAACATATTAAAACTATATCTTAAAACACCTTTTATAAGCAACTTTTTAAACATATTAAAATTTTATCTTAAGACAACTTTTTTAAACAACTTTTTAAAGTTTAAAATACTTTAGGAAAACCTTACTTATATATTATATTTCCCTTTTATACATTTAAACATTTTAAAAAAAAATCTTTGATATTGATTTCACAAATCTCTGATGTAGGAAAAACTCTAATATTGATTTATCAAAACATATAAAAACTCTGAAATATCTTAAAACTTTAAAAGATCTTTAACCCTATATTGCGCCTTGTTTTTTTTTTTCTTGTTTTCACAGTGTTTAAAACAACATAGTGATTTTTAATATATTTACAAAGTATAACATGAAAAGGAGGCAATAGTGAAAAAACAAAAAAAACAAAAAACAAAACAAAACAAAACAAAAAAGTGTTCATAAAATGCATACGATATTGCAAAAAGATTCAAACCTGGTTTAAATTTGATGTTAAAAATATTGCCTATATACTTTTGATATTTTATTGAATTAAATGAAAGTTATGGTTTTTATTTTTTGATCATAAATTTTTGTATGATTAAGCATTAGAATTATTTATTTTTGCTTGAGTCATTGTTCTTTTCTCTTTGGATACAGCTTAAATTTATTTAGTTTCTTTAAAGCAACAGCATCAGTTTAGTTATAAAAATCAAGTGATATATTTTTTTATTTCATTTTAAATAAGTTGGCTTGGGAAAAACAAAATCCAAGTTTTATTTCCAAACAATATAATTATAATTAAAATAATTTAATGTAATTGTAAACAAGTTAAACCAATATGCTGTGCAAAGCAATACAAATGACCTTTTGAAAATTAAAAGAGCGGAATTGGAACAGTTTTTTGGGATATTGTTTGCTACAAGCTTAATGAAAATGCCTAGCACTTGAATGTACTGGAGTAAAGAGTTCTTCGTTGGCAAAGTTGCAGATATTACTTTAAAATGATTTGAAAAAATTAAAACCAAATTGCATTGCAGTGATTAAGTCACCAAGATTATTGATATACAAGATTTGTAAAATGTAAAATGATATCTGATAAAGATATGAAAAAGGATGCAAATTTCAAATTGTCTATTGCAACAAAGAAAAGCTGGTCCTTCAAAATCAAAACGCCCATCAGATGTTGAACAGGAATTAACAGCAAAAAGATCCAGTCCAGTATTTGCAATTCAAATAGACGGTTTGCATCACTGAACAAACTTTATGTCTCATGGGAAAAAGTGACGTTGCAAAAATGGCAATTGCCGAAAGATAAACATAGATATTTGTGAAAAGTGTCAAAGTAATTTGTACTTTACAGCCAGATCCAATTGCTTCAAACGATTTCACACTGAATAATTTATTATTCAGTGTGAAATTGTTTAAAAAAATATAACTTTTATTATATGTTTTTGTTGTATTTCAATTGAATAATTTTCCATATTTTTATGTAATATTCTTTGTATATTTTTGAGTTTGTTTGTGATTTTGTGTCAATTGATTTGGGAAAACTTTTATGACTAAGTTAAATAAAAAAGATCAACCTATTGAGTGATGTTTCTTTAATGAAACAAAGAACTAAAAAGACCTTTGACAGCATATTTTTTGGAAACATTTCTTTCATATTTTTAGATGTGTTTTATTTTTACAAAAAAACATGAACATATTTTTCTATATATTTTTCATAATGTGCGCAATATAGGGTTAATCTAAAACTCAACATAATATATTTCATATGTATATATATATATATATATATATATATATATATATATATATATATATATATATATATATATATATATATATATATATATATATATATATATATATATATATATATATATATATATATATATATATATATATATATAATATATACTCAAACATATAATGTTTAGGTTAAACTTTAAAAATTTTTTTTTTTTTTTTTTTTTGTCATTAGATGATTAAAAACTCTCAGTTATTAGGGAAATTTTATATAAAAAATTAATGATATATAAGTAGGATATAATCATTTAAGACAACAATATATATTATGATACTAATAAAATAAACTCCAATTAAAGCATGAGATTTAAAAATAACTCTTTGTGTCAATGAACCAAAAAAAAAAAAAAAAATGCATTTATATTTATATATAAATATATATATGCATATATATGTATGTATGTATGTGTGTGTGTGTGTGTGTGTGTGTGTGTATATATATATATATATATATATATATATATATATATATATATATATATATATATATATATATATATATATATATATATATATATATATATATATATATATATATATATATATATATATATATATATATATATATATTAATAACTACAATTTTCTTGAATACTGCAATGTAATCAACTCAAAGTGTCATAGATTGTATTTAGCAACTAGCTGTAGGTTGTTTGTTAACTCTGGTGAAAACACATCACAAAACTCTTTACTTAAAAAATTGTCAAAACAATTTTGTTCAATTGAATATCTATTTGAAGCTCTTTCATTTTGACAATCAACAAGTCCGTTTTGTGAATAGAAAGTTATTTTATTTTTTTCTTCTTTATAACAATCTTGCTTATTTGAATTAACAGCTGCATAATATTTACTCAAGAGTTGAATGTTAAAATTGCTTTCAACCACATTATCACCCAAGAAATCTTCAGGTAAGCAGAACAATGGTAATATGTTCTTTTGAAATGAAAATTTATAAACAATCTTGTGTTGATCCGCTGAAGCAAATCTATTAAAGTTTGACAAATTTAAGGGGTCAACTAAAGAAGTTTTAGTTACTGTCAAAGACTTTGAAATAATAGAGTTGCCTGAGCCAAAGTTCGAGACAATATTCCCCAGTTTCTTTTTTATCAAATGATTGCTATCGTCAAGAAAATTAGTCATCATTACCTTACAATCTTTGATACCAAACTTATTTCTCCAAAATTGAGCTGCAAAGACAGATGAGGCTAACAAAACAGGATCATTACGTAGTGTTAGTTCATTTAAACGTTTTTTATGCTCTTTCAGACGACTCATATAAGTGTTTTGACAGCAGTTTGGGTCAGTTTTTCGTAGCCTAACAACTTGATTACAATCTTTGCACACATATCCTATTCCAGGGATATAATGGCGAGCTAAACATTTTACATGGATTGCACTTTGTCCACATAAATAGCAAGCCAACAAGTGCCATTTTCTGTAATACATTACACAAAATTAAGTGAAAATATAAAAAAAAAAAAAAAAAAACACGAACAAAATAAATATAACAAAATAGAAAAACAAAAATATGAACAAATAAATACATAATTGTAAATTGCTTTCTCAATAAGATCTTGAAAATGTTAGATTCAAAAGTTTATCTTTAAATGTAGTGACAAAAATTGACCAGTTAAGACAATTAACAAGATGTAGAAAAACTGAGAATAAGAATGTTAATAATCAACCTTAATAATTTTTATAATTACTAAAAATTTTTTTTTTGTAATTTTTATAAACAAAAACATTAATGGATATGCTGTATATTTAAGCTTAAATTTCACTTTATAATACCAAGGTAAATTGCAAAATTGAGAGACTAAAAAGATTTTAAAAAAGAATTTAAATTAGTTTATAACTACTGTCACTCTAACACTGGCTTAAAATTCTGTAAAGTTTTACAAAAATATTTAGAATAATATTTCAATCCATTAACATCACAAAAAGGTAATGGTCACAAAAAGTTAATGAAATTTAGATTTAGTTTGAAAGAATTTTAGGTAAAATATCAAAAGATATGTTTTATCATGTTCAAAGGAAAAACAATTTTTTTTTTGTTTTCTTTAGAATAAAACAAACTTCTTTAGACCATTAAAATTTTTAATTAAAACTAATTTTTGTAAGTATAAAAACTTTGTCAGACAATTACTCCACTTAAATAATTTAATTACTACAAATGTAAACTTATTCCCCAGTCAAACCATTTTTACTCATAACACTTGGAATTTTTTTAATTCATAACAAAACTTCAAAACCTGATTAACAAGCAAAGTACAGCATAGTTTTTAAAAACATCAATAAACTTCTTCAAGCTTTAACTCAGACTTCTGGAATGTTCTTAGCACGTTTCTTTTTTGAAACAACTGACTTGCAATTAGATTTGTCAAAGTTTAAGCTCTCTTTATGTGGTTTATTTTATCTTGTGCTATATAACATACAAGGTTCTGATAAGTAAATAGAAATTTTTGTTTAGTTTTGACTATTGCTTTACCTTAAAAATTATTTGTACTTAAGCTTGATCTTTTTAAAAAAGGTAAAAGTATTTACAATACTAAAAAACATGCAATTACTGATTTTAAAGTAAAAATTTTATTACATCTTTTAATACAGTCTAAAAATTTTTTCCATAAGTACAAAATGGAGTGTTTCATTTGCTATTATCAACCACATCGGATCTGACAATAAATGAGCATCTTTATAGTTTTTCCACATTTATGAATATAGAATAAACTGATCTTTATTTAGATTATTTAGGGAGTTATCAGAAGTGACTTTTAAACTTCGATATATATGGGAGTAATATCTGTTAACAGCCTCCTTCCTATGTTAAATTAAAAACATTGTAGAGAAAATTCCACAGATTTACAACTTATGATCTCACCTTAACACAATTCTCTTTTTATTTTGTTTTTATTTATATTATGATTCCGGTGTCTCAATTTATTGATGAATCTGGTGTATGCAAATAATTTAAAACAACAAATCAGAAACTTGGTAATAATGACTCAATAACAAAGTTGGTTAGATAAAATAAAATGATGTAGAATTTTTTCTTATTTCATAGAAACATTAGAACAGCTAAACAAAAGATATAAAATGATTTTAATTCCTTTTAATTTTTAATGTTCAAGGTTTGCATCCTCTATATGCTTATATATTTCGTATAACTAAATTACTTAATGAAGGAAAATAAAATTTTCTCCCTCAATTCCTTATCTGTTTTCATCCAGAAAAGGTTTTAAATCTTAGTTAATACAAACCACATAAACTTCATAAAATAAACTTACCCGGCTTTGGTGCAATAGCTTCTTCCTTTTTTACACAAGCAGTAAAGTAAGTCACATCTGTTATATTTTTCTAAAAGCTCAGCAAATGCACCATTTTCTTCCCAGCCTGCATCACTGAATAAAAATTTAATAATCTCATTACTGTTACATTATAAGAAAATATAACCTGTTATATTTTTCTTGAAAAAATATATCAGGTTAATTATTCTCAAAAATATATAACCTATTATATATTTTAAACATAACAAAACAAAGTGTTTAAAAAATCTACTCTATATTTATTTAAAAAAAAAAACTTATAATCTCTAAATTTAAATTTAAGTGCAATATTTAAAACAATTTCAATGATTTATTAAAAAAAAGTTATTATTCAGGTAAGTGTAGACAATATTATTCTTTGGGTCTCAACACAAAAAATGTATTTATTGTCTTGATAAAACAAACTAATAAAAAAAAAAGTAAAATAATACAAAATACTTTTATAGTAAACTTTTTACCAAAAAACAATATTTTTTTTTAAATCATTTTAGGAAACATTCAAGTAAACATCTTTGAAAACTTCTCAATAAAAGTTTTTTTTTTTTTTTTTTTTTTTTTTTTTTTAATGAAGCAAATTTTTAATAAAACAAATTTATTTATACCTTGAATTACAAATATGTTTTTAATGGATTGTTTTGGAAACTAAAAATTGAAAACTTTTTGCTTAAAAATATTGTTACAAAAAACTTAATTATTTTTAAAAACAAGATTCATCTATTTTTATAAATATAGTCTATACTATATGGAGAGTGAAGAATTCATTTTTCTTTTTATAATATAATATTTTAAGATTGAATATCTCAAGAACCACATTAAATACATACTGAGCTGAAATGGACTCATTTTATCGATATACACCAACAAGTCTCATTTAAATCTTAGGTTGTTCACCATACATACCAAGCCAACAAGTCTCATTTAAATCTTAGATTGTTCACCATACATACCAAGCCAACAAGTCTCATTTAAATCTGAGGTTGTTCATGAGGGACCATTTGTCCACTTAGTATGGTATGAATCTATATGAATATAATTCAGTAATCTTTTCAACAACATAAACTCAACAATAACTCTTAAAACAAGAATATTTAACTCAACAATAACTCTTAAAACAATTTAACTCAATACATACACACTTTTATTCAACAAAAACAAAAAAAAAATTATTTAATATTTAATTCTCTTTTATTCAACTTAAATTCAAGATTCTTTCAATCAATATACATTTAACATTCTTTGAATCAATATTTATTTAATATTATGAACTGCAGTAATATTGAACAAGTTGAATTGAGAATAACTTGGACTATGCTTTTAATGAACTTTATGCATCTATTGAACTTTAAAAAAAAACTCTAATGTTTTAAATCATATTTTCAGTGGAAACTTATAAAAAAAGTCTCAGTTGCTTTGCTGTGTTTTTGTATGGTCAGTTTTGTATGGCCACGAGATCGGGTGGCCAACCTTAAGAAAGCCATTTCTTTTAATTTAATCATCACTGAATTATTAATAAATATGAAATATGAAAATATAGATAATATGAAAAAATGAAATATGACAATATAAAAAATTTGAAAATCTTAAGGGTCAACCTCACTTCCTAATCATGAGTTATTTTGGAGCAATGAGCATTAATCCACTTTATAACTGCGGCAGAATTAGCAATGATGGAATAGTAGCAAAATTGTTACAGTCTTACATCATATTTTCTAAGCAAAGCCTTTTGACCATTTAAATACAAAAACATCTAGTCTTTAAACAAAGCAATCCAATATAACAAACAAGCACAAGAGATAATTGTAGTGGGTGGCTTTACTAGGATATTAAATTAAAATGAATTAGTCTTAAAATTACAAATCTGTGCCAAGTGCATAGATATATAGAAGCTAAAGTTGAGCAACCAAGCATGAAGTAACATTAAAATCATTTACTTAACAATAACTGATTTTTTTTATAAGAAAAAAAGCATACAAGGTAGTTTTAAAAAGAATTTTTTAACAAAAGTGTCCTTAAACGAAAGTGTTGTTATAGTGCCATTTTAAGCATGAATCAGTTCTTTTTCATCAAATATAAAAAAATCAAGTTTTACTTTTAATTTGATTGAATTTTTAGGGCATTTTAGCATTTTTGTTAAATGATTAAAAAAGCTTTTACTAATTATTTTTAAATCTATAAAACTTAAATAAAAAACTTTAAGCTGTAGTCTTTCATTATCTTTAAATTTATATTTTGAACAACTTTCAAATTCATTTTCAGATGTTAATTCAACTAATTAGTCAGTTTTTTATTTTTTGTAAAACCAAAAATTATCACTTGAAAACAAAAATTGCAATTGCAAATCTTCAACAAATCCAGCCAGAAATTCAGCTCAGTTATAAACATATTCAACATTCTTCAATATTTATACAAATCAAGGACATAAACCTGTATTTTTTTCCTTCTTCTGAGGTAGATAAAAGATAACTTACAGGATTGGCATGAATACTTTTGTATGTTCATACTAATATAAAATATGGATGCTGTAAAATATTACAATGCTTGGAGCCTCGAAGCAAAGGTAATTTTAAACCTTAACCCCTTAAAAAAAAGCAAATTTAAACTAGTTCAAAACTCAATGACAAAATTAAATTTTTATTAAAAAAATATTTAGGCAACTAAGAATTAGTGATGTGAACTTGAAACTCACTCATTTTGAGGAGGTTAACTTGACATAGCCGTTACTTTTAGATGTAATTTTTACTAAAATTTTATATTGATAAATTTTGTTTAAGTTTAGCATTAAAAATAAAGGTATTTTAAAATTTTATTGTCCTCGCAAATAAGTTGGAGCGCCAAAGTTTTAGAACTTTCTGTTCTGAGTCTCTGATGATTGTGTGAACATAAAAATATTGGGTATTTGCCATGTAAACTATCTTAACTACCAAAAAAAAAAATTATGTACATAAAATAAATATTCAACATTCTTTCAATAATCCTAATTTATTTAAATTTTATTTAGTAATCCTAGGAAAGCTTGAAATAAATGAGGTACAAAAAGTTAAAAACTAAAAAACTCAACCACTTACCGCTTAGGTATGAAAATACCACGTGATGACATTTCTTCGATAAAGTCATTAGAATTATTGCAGGTAGGACATCGGAAAAAATACCCACTGACATTTGCTTGCATCTTTTAGAACAAAATTTATGTGTAAATTATATATATATATATATATATATATATATATATATATATATATATATATATATTTTTTTTTTTTTTTTTTTTAAAAAAAAAGGTGAATTATTTTGATTATACCTTTATGCAGGATCTGTGTATAAACATATCTTTACAACATGGAGCTTTTAAAATTTCATTATGATCAATTTCCAATATTTCATCAAAACAAATAGGACATTTTGGAGCAGGCTTCAAACTTTTGATGCGCCTAAGATCTTGCTTGGAGCGATGTTTCAGACAGTAAGAGCTATAACAGTCAATAAACTTATATAAAAAGTCCAAAATACTGAATAAAAATCGAAATTTATGACAATTAAAGATATAAGAAAATAAGCTTAATGAACTTCATAAACCCAAGTCTACAGGCAATGTTTTGATTATCATAGAACAAATTTTTCTTTATTGACCTATCCTAATTTACAATGAATCCTAACCTATTTTTATCAATTATCCTTTAATCCTAATCTAACCCTAAATACTAACCTAACATTAAATCTTAACCTAGTTAGTAATGAAGTAATCAATTTTAAATACATGAAAATGTCAAAATATTTTACTTGGAATGAAAATACTATTAATATTTCTGACTTGATAATGAAAAATAAAATTTTTTTAAACACATTAACACTATCTGTCAAGAACAACGCATATTAACAACTTGAACGTTATACACCAGGGATGTGGTGGCAGGATTTGTGATAAAATTTCCAGATGTAAAAAGCAGTGCTCATTCGTATATAATTAGAGTATAAAGTCCCACACTTTCAAAAATAAGGGAGGGAGAAAATAACAAATTGTTTAATTGACTTTTTATACACATATTTGAATTTTTTTTCTAATTTAACAGTAAAATTTTATCTTCCTTCAATAAACAAAGCACAGATATAAAATATTAGCATTACGTCACATTACTTTGTCAAGAAAATCAATAAAAAAATTTAAACCGGTGATTATAAAAGAAAATTAGTCAGATATGGCATGCTTAAACTTTGGCAAAAATCATGGTATCATAGTGCATAGTGCTGATATTTATTATGCCATGCGGTTATTCAACCCTAAGAACTGGACTGTTGAGAAAAAGTTAGGCATAGAAGAAATAAAGTTTTGTCTGCGCATTTTAAAACACCATTGGAACATTCAATTTCAATGTAAAATTAGTTGTTTAAGAATGAATATTGTTTTTGATTCATGCAAAAATCTTGAAGCAATACTAATCTCCAGATAAGAGAAATTTGTAGGTCAATATTTTTCAATGTCAGTTTCCTAATTTGTTAAAATTTGTATCAATTATCTAGGCAATTTCCGAAACTCAAGCGTGGAACAAATTTTTAGCACATATGAACTTATTTTTGAAAAATTAATTTTAATAATTAAAAAAATATCAAGAAATAGGAAAACCGTTAAGTGTTTCTTAATTAAGTTAACAGCATAATATTTTAAAATAAAATAACAAAAGCAAAAAATAAATATATAGAAATAACAAAAGCAAAAAATAAATATATAGAAATAACAAAAGCAAAAAATAAATATATAGAAATAACAAAAGCAAAAAATAAATATATAGAAATAACAAAAGCAAAAAATAAATATATAGAAATAACAAAAGCAAAAAATAAATATATAAAAATAACAAAAGCAAAAAATAAATATATAGAAATAAAAAAAGCAAAAAATAAATATATAGAAATAACAAAAGCAAAAAATTTACCAATTTATTCTTAATTATTAAAAGTACTTGGGTTTTTGTTTAGTTGTGTTTTCATTTTACCATAAATAAAACAAAAGCAAAAAATTTACTAATTTATTCTTAATTATTAAAAGTACTTGGGTTTTTGTTTAGTTGTGTTTTTGTTTTGCCATAAATAGTTAAAAAAATTGCGAACAGATTCAAATAATATACAAGAAATTGGGAAGTATAAAGAGCTACTTGTTGACATAGTATCATAATTGCTGTAGATACTACTTCAAAACATTTGTCAATAAAATAACATTGTATAACAAATAAAAAATTTTTATGTCTATCAATTTTTAAATCTCATGATTGCTCTCGCAGACATTATCTCTGACAAGCATAATCACGCTTGATGACAACATATTACAACTTCATGAGCACAAAATAATCTAAATAAGATAAAGAGCGCAAAACAATTAAAATAATTTTTTTTATGCAATTGGGCGATTTTCTTTTATCTAGGCAGATTGCAAGCCCTGTTGTGGGTTTAACACTAACTCTTAACTATGAAGCCAGTCACTACATCATTACTGCATTCATATTCTGTAAGCTGTATTTTTGTTATTAAAAATTTAAATACTTACTCAAAAGCGTCTTTAAAAACATATTGTATTCCACTTTTTAATCCACATTTAAAATGGTAAACAGATTGGCAGGATGGCACTGAACAACCCGAGCTGGCTCCTTTTTTATGGCAGATTTTACATGTCTAAATGAAAGATAAAGAAGTTTGAAATTTTCATTTTATTAAATAAATTAAGAGTATGGCTTCAAGACATGGCTGTTTCACTCAATATAAAAGCGAGCTTGACGTCAGTTTTTTTTGTGTTTATCAAAAAAAAAAGAATTTCCGCAAAAAGTTTAAAAATATAATAGCTTTAAAATAATAGTGTATTTTTACTATAAGCGCTTTCATCTTCAAATAAAAAAAATGTAAAAGACCTATTTTTTTTTTTTTTAAAAATAAATATTTACATTAAACAAAATAAAAATATTTATTGTTTAAATATTGCAAACGATTTGGAATCACTTTTCTGTTTTTTGTGATTTTTACAGAAAACCTGTCTTGGGTCAACTAAAATTTCATATCGTAGCTACATGCTTAATGGTTGAAATTTGGAACATTTATAAATAAATGTCTATTCTATCTAATTTTTGGTGCGGATTGCTAACTTTTTTTTTTTTTTTCCCCATTATTTTTTAATGCATTTATATTTTTAATTTTATTATTAGATTATGAAAATCATATTATTTTTGTAATCCGCACTAAATTATTGAAATTTCAACCCTTTCTGCATATAAAAATCAAAAAATCGTTTTCTGTACTTCTAGCTATGTTATGAAATATGTTTTCAAACTTGGCTAGTTTAGAAACAAATTTTTCTAGTTTTATGCATAAAGCAAATATTTAATGAATTTTATGAAAACAACTTTCTTAGCGAGACAAATTTTGAAGTATAAAATAAACAAAGTTAGGCGGGTTTTTTTTTTCGTGGGTAATCAACTAACATCAGATAAGTTTTCTAATCCTATTATATCTTGTTCATCTATTTGTCAATAAATATTATTTTATTTGCATTGTTTGTGTTATATTTTTATTACGAGATTTATTTATCATTATGTATTCTACTGAAAGGGAAATTTTAAAACTATGGATTGAATGGGATGATAGTTGGGAAAATGAGTGTAACTTTCCATTTGTTAAGCAATTAATTAGCATTGATAAAATGACTAACAATGTAATTTCAATTTTAATGTCAGTTTTTAAGTCAAAAGCATTGTTTAGTCAATGAGCTTTATATTGCCAATCGATTTTAATTTGCCTAGTTTTGATGAGTTTGATAAATTTTATAAAAACTTAATACGGAAAAAAAAACTTTTTTAAAAAAATTTTAAAGCTTCAAAAAACAAAGTCTTTTTTAAAATGCAACTGTCTCCGGCTCTACAAAAAAAAAAAAAAAAAAAGAAAGTCAGCAGATGCAGATGATTTTTTTTTTTAAATAGGAATAAGGAACTAAGTAGTCGAGTTGACTAATTAACTTCTGAAAATAAAACAAATGTAGAGGAAATAGAGAAATTAAATTCGCAGTTATTAAAGTTGGATACTGAAATTTAAATTCTAAAAATAAGGCTCTTAGCACACATTCTAACTCATTATGTTCTCAAGTAGAGACTATGAGTATTAGGCTAAAACAGGAGGAGCAGCTCCAACTTATTAAAAAAAAAAAAATCAAAACAGCACAGCACAAATTTGCATCTGCTCATGCCAAAAATGTAAGTTTGCTAAAAAATATTAAATTTGAAAAAAAAAAAAATGCAAAAATTAGTGATATAAACCAGAATGGTTACCAAATTTGCAAATGTCTTGTAAGCTTTGGTTGTTGTTTATTATTTAGACTATGACAACATTGGTTCCTCTGAATTGTTCTGTGGATTTAAATTAAGTAATACACAGACTACATAAATTAAAAGGCCAATAGTTGGTAAAAAATACACTTACATTAAGTTAGGACATGGTAAACTTTATTCTAAGTTAGGTAGGCATGCTGCAGCTAGATGATCTAGACTTGCTTTTATATTTCTTCGATTATTAGCTTGTTCAGATTTTGAAATTGATTTGTCTATGTTGTTTTGCGATTCTATGTCTTGTGAAAAGTCAATATATTGTTATGTTGCAAATAAGTTAGGTTTAGTTAGGCAATTAAGTGTTTCTGATACTGTAGAGCTGCAGAGCCAATTAAGGATGTCCATGTCTAAATTCAGTAGGCTAAGATGTATTTTGTGTAACCTTGGTGCAAGGATTCTCACCTCTGAGCCCAAGATTGGACAAGAACAAGAAATGCGGACAATGCATGTCAATAAAGAACATGTCACTGTGAAGTCCATGTTACTTTATCCATCTGCAAACGAAGCACCTTGTTTAGTATCTGTACTGATGGTCAAGAATTTGACAACTTATATTGAAGAAGTTTTTAATAGTCTTCACCTATGCGACCACCTTAGTTTGGATGTTGGTTTTGGCAAAGAGGTATGGCTCCTTTTTGCTGGGGATAAGGGTGGAAAGTATATGAAATTCCATTTTGAAGTTGTCAATTTGAAATTGTCAGGGTCTGTATATGATGTTCATTTGTTTTGTATGTATCAGGGTTCAGACTGTCGTGAGAATATTGCCTTAATTCTTAGGCATTATGCCAACGACATTAAAAGAATTCAGTCGCCAGATTTTAAGCTAAAAGGCAAAATAGTCAGGTTGTTCTTAGGTTGAGATTTTCATTTCATCGATGATGTTCTGGGAAACCAGGGTTCAGCTGGTAGCTTTCCTAGTTCTAAAGATCTAGTTGAATTGAAATATCTTAGAAACCATGCTTCTATGCCTCACACACCTGCTAATTGTAACATCTTAAGGAGGACAATACAATCTCTGGAAAGTGCTTAGAATGAGAACTTGTGTGAAAATAGGCAAGGTGGAAACTTAAGAGCTCTAGGTAAGTTTCATAAATCAATTATTGCAGTGTAAGACTTGAGATTGTCAAGCTGATTCATCTTTGTTGCATAATGAGAATGTGAGAATGAATGAATTATGGGCTACTAAAAGCGTTGAATGTTCTAAAACAGCAGAAACTTTACGTTTATTAGGAAATCAATTTGTAGACATTGCAAATCTAAAGGCGAGATGGTTGGCTTTTAATAACAATTTTTCCGAATTAGAAAAAATATCCCTAAACTCCTCCAATTTAAAAAAAAACCTGTAAACAGCAAGAAATGTGTGCTAGTATCAGGTGTTTAATGTAAATATGATTGTTGATTGGGTGCAGTGTATTACATGCCAAAAATGGTTTCATCAATATTGTAAAATTATTGGTGATTCAGAAAAGAGTGTATTGTGTGACATAGAGATGTACGAGTGTTTTGCGTATCAGAGTGAAGATATAGAATATCTTGACCTTTTTATATCTGAAAAAATATATAAGCATTTATTATTGTTGTTTTTTTCTAAGGAGCTAATATTCTTTTTTTTTTCCTGAGGCGCTTATATTCCTTCACTTTCACTTTTTGTTCTCTTTTTTTGTTCACTTTTTGTTCTCAATTTTTCTGCCTTTCTGTTCTCTTTTTTTGTTCACTTTTTGTTCTCAATTTTTCTTCATTTTTGCTAATATTGCATACTAGCTGTGATCGGACCCGTAAAAATACGCGTCTTTGTATATCTATTCCAAACCAAACTTTTCTTTACTTTTTTCTTATATATCCTAGCTTTCCGGATCCGTAAAATACAGATCTTTACCAATTTACATATCTATTCCTCGCCGATTATTTCTATTTATTTATTCTGAAAAAAAACTTAAGAGCAAAAAACTTAACATGCGCACCTTTTCCGCATACATAGAGCTTATAAGAGACTTATAATTAGGTTTTTTTTTCTGCTAAATGCATTTCATTGATAGCTCAGTGGTTAAATGCACTGTCATCAGTGTTGTTTTGGAGGGTTTAAGACCTCCACTTAGCATAATGAATTTTAAAATTTTTTCAATCTTGCTTATATATTCACTTATATATTCATAGGATAAAAATTATAATATAGAAACAAAGATTTCTAAAATTTAAAATAAAATTTTCAAGTTTTCTCGTTTTATAGATATATAGATATACGCAATTATTCCATGTAATGCCTGCAAACTCAACATATACTAAAGACGTTAACACTTGCATACGTTTGTACATAACGCTACACAAATGGAATTAAGAAGATCTAAGCAGATCGAAGCACTAAACCGAAGTTATAAAAAAAAATTAATTCTTATAATTAAGAAATAAAGAATAAATTTATTAAAAATAATATTAAACGTTTATCTAAAAGTTAAGTCAAAAAGATTTTGGGCATTGATGTCAGTTAGTGGCAAAATAAACCTTTATGCGTCAAGTTTCCTTTTGTATTAATCTTACGTTTTTTAAATTAATTTTCATTAAGTTGCATACAAATGCATAAAAATATATAAAACTGGTTCAGGCATATCATTTTCACAGATAAGAGATTGTATTTATTACAATAGAAATAAATAAATATTTTTTGACTTTATTAGAATATATCCCACAAAAATATATTCCATATGACTTTAATAGAGTTTTTAAAAAAATTGAACAAAATCTTATTTCTATGACTATCATTTTTAAAGGTCTAAAAAGCAGATGACATAATTTTAGCAATCAGAAATTATCGAGAGAGGAGCAAATTTAAAGTTGAAGTTTCAAATTTTCTGTTGTTTAGTATTTTTTCAATCTTGTCAATTTATTTAAATATAACATAACTATAAAAAATCAAAACACAACAGCTTGAGCAAAAAAGACTTGTCATTATTAGAAAAGTTTACTTATATTACATACGACCCTGTATATTGTAGTTGATCCTGTGAATAAAAAGTTATATAAGTGGATTTTTGACATTTTATAAACAATATATGTATAAACAAATAACATATTTGTTTATATATACATTGTTTACATAGAGATGGTTGAGCGCAACTAAATTTAAAAAAAAAATTAGTTTATATCAAAATTAAAAAATGATTTATATAAAGTTTCTTTGCAAAAACCAACCCACTATAATAAAATTTCTGCTAATAATAGAATTTTGAACTACAATTATTCGTTGTATCATACTGCAGCTGTTTTTCAAAACGCCTTAAGGTAAAAAATATATTTTTTGACTTTTTTACAAAATAAACTACTTTATATGTCTACAAACGTTATTGAATACATATTTTTAAAAAGTTCTGAAAAAGTTCATTAAAATTATTTGTTTTAAAAAACGTTTTACAATGAGTTTATATATACATTGTTTGCACTTAACCATCTATATTTAATAATTTTTTTTAAACTGCGTTTTTCTCGAAATACGCAATAAGCATATTAAGGCGTTTTGAAAAAACAGCTGCAGCGCATATTTATTGTAAAAAAATAAATGCAGCAAAAAAAACTATTTGTTGTCAAAAAAAAATTTTATATTTTTTTTTAACTACTGGCTTTTTTTTTTTTTTTGCAGCACTTTCTGGAGTAGCGCAACTGTTTTAAAAAGATTTTTTTTTTTTATTGAGTTTTAGAAAACTTTTTTTTCAGACCATCCGCAGCTTATTAGGACTAATTACCTAAGCACGTTATTAACATAAGTATCTCAATCATGATACATACGCAACAATTTTTTTCTCTCGGTGTTTTGATATTTTAAAAAATATTATCTTTTTTAAAATCTTTTTGTTTGTTTAAGTGTATATCGTTACATATGTTTTATAAACACTCTATAAAACTTCAAAAGTATTTTGTATTTTAAAATAGTCAAAAAAAAATTAAAAAAAAAAGTTTTCAATGGTAGGACTTGAACCTGGGCTTACTTGTTCAGAAGCTAAGCGCGCTATCCACTCTGCCACGTTGTTAAACAAAAATTTTTAAAAGTATGTAATGACGTTTTTTACAGAAAGATATGCTGTACATCAAAGTTAAGAAGAGCTTGACGCAATGCAACTTTTAAGTGAAAATCAAACTGTAAAACTTGATAAATGTTTCAGTATGTTTTAACATTACTTAATTTAAAGTTTACATACATTAGAAATTTGCATACACATTCGTTCACATTTTCTTAAAAAACAAAGTGCTGCAACTCTCACTCGCCAATACCTCGGTTACAATGGCTGCCAAGGGTTTCATGTCAAATACGCTTCAAGGGACACTACTACTATTAAAACTATTAAGTTTGGCATTATTATACAGAAGATACTTTCTGCCAAGACAAGAACCTGTTTCAACTATTTCTACCCGTTTAGTTTTAAAAAGGGCATTTTTCTGCACAATTTCTTTCATTACTAGTTATATATGCAATCCTCGGAATTAAGAAAAATGAGGCCGACAATTTTTTGCAATTTTTTAGGTCAGCAGTTAGTTCGGCATTGCCGAATGCTGACCCTAATTCTGAGGGTTGTATATGATTATCTTGTCTTTCATATTTTCAGCTGATACTTCTGGTTTATTTTTTCAATATTTCATTGTTAAAGGGTTGTATTGATGTTAAAGTTAGTTATATCATTGATTTAAACCTAGTTATATCACTGATGTTCAATTTTATAAGTTAAATTTATATATTATGTTTATATCTTATACTTATTTCATTTTATATGGATTTATAATCAATTATATATATATATATTATATTTTTAATTTTTTTCTCAAAAAGAAAAACCAATCATGCTTAAGTTTAAAAAATATTACAAAAAGTAACTCACTATGTTGAAGCATCTTTGTACTTCTTTAACTATATCAGTGAATAAAAAACCATCAAAGCCTTTTGCATCATCTCCATTTTGTGGGAGGCCAGCCGAAAAAAACTTAAAAAAATATAAACATTATCATTTGCACACAAAAAAAAAAAAAATTAAATAAACAAAATAAGTTTTCTTAAAAGAGATTGTATATAAATTATGCAATGCTAAAATTAATGAATAAAACATATAAATCACAACTTTTTAGTTGCTTTTAATTTAACTAAAAGTTAAAATTGTGATTTAAAATTAAAATTGCTGCTTAAAAGAGAAAACAATCTTCTGTTTTTGTTATTTTTTAAAACAAATTTAGTAATACGATATTTTTAAGTGATCTTAAATTCAAATTACTGACACCAATTATAGACCAAAAGTCTATAGTGTGCACAACATCATTAATTCACATTCTGAGCAAATTTAATAACTTTTTGTTTTTCTATTTAATAAACATGCAGTCAATAATTTTATAATATATTTCCCAATACATTTTTATAGGATTGAGCTTAAAATAAAAATTAGGAATATGAAATATTTTATTAAAAAAGTACTCCATAGCTATTTTGCTGGCACAATTTCCCTTATTTTAAAGCTATTTTAAAATTTTTAAGAAATTTCTAGCAGTCACTGATAGCCACAAGGCAAACCATATCTAAAATATTACATTATCATGTATTTCTTCCAAAAATGTATAAAAAATAAAATATTTTTGTAAGGCAATTCTCAAACAATCAAAAAAAAAAAATTTTCTTGATATATATATATCTAATTGGAAAATTAATTTTTGCCAAAAAGTTAATTTTCCTCATATTTTTTCAAAAAATACATAAAAACTAAACAAAAAACTTTATAATGCATTTCCCAAAGAGCAAACAAACACAATAAAAAATTTTAATATTAACACATTTTTTATGTAGAAAAAACTTTCTTATGGACTCTATCTTGGGTCCTATATAAATCAAACCATGGGTCAGAAATTTTTTCATTACAAACAGTCCAAAACAACCACATTTTCAATAACTAGAAAAAAAAAAACTATCAATTTTATGTGAATCTATGATGTTGTGCAATTCTCTAAGATTTTTTTTTACATTCCCTGATCAATTAAAAATGATAAAATATTAAAGTTTGTTAATTTAATCAATATTTTCACAAATAAAACCAAGTCCCCAAGTGAAAGTCCTTCGACACTTGAGAAAATCCCTGATTTTCATGAGTTCTTTGAATGGCAATCTAGTAGGAGCATTGAGAAAATTTAAAACTCAAAGTTGCCCCAAAAATAAAGGTAATATGAAGTTCGCAATAAAAATTGTATATTGGTATGTTTTGAGACCACTAACAAATTAATAATACAAAATAGGAGATAAATAAATAGCATAATTAAAATAAAAATAAAAATTAAATAAATAAAAAAAAAAAAAAAAAAAAGGATATTCAAATAAATAAAACTACCAAACAAAATTGATGAGCAGCTATATTTGATTCTTTAGATTGAAAAAATGTCCCGTATTCGGAATTTTCACTTTCACCACAAAAACAACATTCTATATATTGAAAAAGAATATATATATATATATATATATATATATATATATATATATATATATATATATATATATATATATATATATATATATACATATATATATACATATATATATACATATATATATATATATATATATATATATAAATATGTATATATATATATATAAATAAATATATATATATATATACATATATATATACATATATATATACATATATATATATATATATATATATATATATATATATATATATATATATATATATATATATATATATATATATATATATATATATATATATATATATATATATACAATGCATGTGATGAATAAAATCGCCAAGTGTGATATTTTGTGCTTGTAATGCTGAAACACGTTATCAACTAGCACAATTATGTGCGCTCGACATCAAGTCTTCGAGATATTCAGAGTTAAAAATTGGTTGCAATGGGGCCATCCATAAATTATATACAAAAGTATGGGGTGGGGGTCACTCAAAAGCATACCAGTGAATACAAGAGAAAGGGTGGACGATTTTTTGTTTAAATTTTTTTATGTGAAGTCCAGGAAATCAGACAAAAAAACTTTGGTTTTTAGTTAATGCATTTGTCTATCCACTAGAAAAAATATGTTAGTGCAGCTTTAATTATAAAAACCATGAAATAACATCATTTACTGAAAGTTGACAACATAACATAATATGATAATATTGTTTACTAGTAAAGTTGAATTAACATGCTTGATTGCAGACATTCTAAACATCAGAAACACTTTTAATTTAATTTAAAATAAATAATATTTAAAAATAAAAAGAATAAGAATTTTTGTTTTAATTAAAAAAGAATATTTTTATATTTTAAGTGAGAAAAATCAAAAACTTTTGATTTTTCAAAATTCAATCAAGTTTTAAATTTTTAATTTAAATTTTCTATTTTTCATTGGGACGAAACATTTTGAAAATACTAAACATTCCATTCTATCTGTTAGCTGTAATAACAAGCTTGGCCAGGAAGGCGTGCGATTTCATGTCACAATATGAACACGCAAATACTATTAGATTATACTTACTTGACCACGGCTGTTAATATGTTTTGAAAATTTGTATACGTATTAAAAACGCGCTAAAAAAATTATCTTACCTATGAAGAAATTAAAAAAAAAAAACTTATTGCAAAAGAAGCAAATTAATTTTCATAGAAAAAAGAACAAAAAATAAAATAAAAATAACTTATCTAAAACTAAAATAGCAAAAATAAAATTAAAACTTAACTAAAATAAATAATAAACTATAACGATATGATTCTCTTAATTACATTTGGAATAAATAATTTTGTATCGTTTATCTTTACTAATGTTTTTATAATTTAATATTATGTGAAACTCTTTTTAAATAAAGTAACAACTTACAACTGATGATAGTTTAATAAACATGCACATTTAAAAGTTTAAAAAAAGATTCTTAACAATTCTTTGCACAAAAGTAAAAATAATTAATTGTTTATTTAAAAAAATAACATAATACTTTTTTATTTATAAATATTTTTAATACAAAATAAATACTTACATATATATATATATATATATATATATATATATATATATATATATATATATATATATATATATATATATATATATATATATATATATATATATATATATATTCAATAATGTTTTTTTTTTTAAATCATTAGCAGTGAATTGTGACTTTATTTAAATGTGTTTCAGTAAAATAAAAATGTAAGTAAAGGATCGAATTTGTTTAATTCAAACCGCTTTCAAAAAAAAATTCTTTTTTTTTCTTCTCAACAAAAACTTTAAAAACGAAAAACTTTTTTTCTTCTCAAAAAATTATTATATAAAGTTTATTAAAAGGACCTTTGCTGTTTATAGTCGTTGCTTAAAAAAAAAATTATTTTTAATTTTTACTTTATTTTTATTTAAAAAAATCTTATATAATTAAATAATATAAATAAAAAATTATACAACTTTCAATGATACTTTAACTAAAATCATTAGCTATTTTATTTAAAAGAGTTTGCTAATATAAATTTTTTTTTTAATTATCTTCGCTTCCAACAAGACTGCAAGCAACCACTAATTAGTGTTGGAAGTTACTGGAAGAGAAAAGATGAAGATTGTAGAGCAAGATAACGATTGACAGACGACTTAAAAGATGGCAAATTATATAAATCAGGGAAGCAAGATGAAGGAAGCAAATTCCAAAGAACTGATGTTCAAGGAAAAAAACTAGACGAATAAGAGTTTTTGCAGCACTTAGGAGCAGTAGCAGAAAAAGGATGAGATTTAACTGAATGACGAGTAACACGATAATGAATTTTAGTAGATGGCACAAGAGACGCTAGCTCTTTAGAGCAGTGCTCATTATAGCGTTTGTAGAAAAGAGAAAGAGAAGCAACATTACAATGATGTGACAGAGGTTGAAGGTTGGCTGCGAGAGCAGGTCCAACTATGTTTACAATGCGTTTTTGCACCTTGTCTAAAAGAGAAAGGGCATCATTAGAAGATCCACCTCAGATATGACAATAGTATTCCATACAAGGCCGGATTTGAGATTTATAGAGATAGAGAATAGAATCCAGAGTAAGAAAGTGACGAGCTTGATAAAGAGAAGCGACTTAAGCAGATGCTAATTTTGCAACAGATTTGATATAAGGTTTCCAAGAAAGATCAGAAGTGAGAGTTAATTCTAGAAGATGAAGGGTAGATGACTCATCGAGTACATTACCGTTCATAAATATAGGAAGGTCTAAACTATTGCGATAACAATTGGCCGAAAAAAATTGAGTTTTATCTGAATTAAAGTTCACCAGCCACTGTGAGCCCCATGCTGTAGCAGAAGTGAGATCCTTTTCAAGCTCAGATGCCTCCTGCAAGCAATCAGAGGGAGTTGGCTTCTAATCGTGACAAGAATAAATGGTAGTATCATCAGCGAACAATGCCACCTCAGATGTGAGAATATCTGGAAGATCGTTAATGTAAATTAAAAAGAGTATAGGGCCAAGGATTGAACCTTGAGGAACCCTTGAGGTTACAGAATAAGAAGAGTGCTGTCCATCAAGGAAGGATTCAATAATCTTAAAGATGTTTCCAGATACACCGTAAGAAGAAAGCTTATGGAGAAGACCAGCATGCCAAACTTTATCAAACGCTTTAGAAATGTCAAAAGCGATGGCCTTAACCTCTCCACCTTTATCTAATGCACGATAAAACCTATCGGTTATTACTGATAGCAAATCAGCCGTAGAACGAGAAGATCGAAATCCATATTGATGATCAGAAAGTAGGTTATGAGATTCGAGATTAAGTGTTAGTTAATTAAAGATTCAAAAACCTTGCTTATGATAGGAAGAAGACTAATGGGATAGTAGTTAGACGAATCGGATCGCTCTCCAGAATTTTTAAAAATAGGGATAACAGATGCTGCTTTCCAGCAGGCTGGAAAACAAGACTCTGATAAGCACTTGTTAAATAGTTTTGAAAGGATAGAGGACAGCTCTGGAGAACCCTTCTGCAAGACTATAACGGGTATGTTAAGATAAACGTGTCGTTTTTATATACTTGATTATATACCTAATAAATATATAATAGACTTAAAATATTAGTGTAAGTATATATATATATATATATATATATATATATATATATATATATATATATATATATATATATATATATATATATAACATAAACAATTTATATATTGATGCATATTTTAAGAAATGTGTTTATAAAAATAGTGACATTATATTTTTTAGCATGTCATTATATGACCACGCGAATAATAATTTATTTTGACGATTTGACCACAGTTTTTAAACATTTTAAAAATGCGTTGAAAAAAATTATTTTTAATTACGTCAAAAATAAATAACTTTGAAACTTTTATCTTCATTAACGTTTTTATATTAGCGAAATGCTTTTAAATAAAGTAACAGTTATTGTTAACGTTTTAATTTTAAGTATAGATGAAAGTTGTATAAATTTTTATTTATATTATTAATATAAATAAAAATTTATACAATATATATAAGATTATATAATTAACAAATAAAATAATATATAAGTTTTTTTCATAATTAATCTTATTTGTTTTTTATTTATTTAAATTCTTAGCAACAACTTTTAAAACGATCGTCTTTATAATAAACTTTATTTAAGAATCATTTAAGTTGATACACTCAAAAAGATGTTGTTAAAAAGAAAAAAAGACAAACTTTTGAATTAAAGACAGCTGTTTGAATTAAATAACTTTGATCTTTACTAATGTTTTTATATTATTAAAACGCTTTTGTATTAATGTATTTTTCTTTAGTCTTTAAATACAAAAATTATTGATTAAAGTTAATATACTTTAAATTTAACAAAATTTGTTAGCAAGAATGTAAGTTAAAATATATATATATATTAGGGCTGTTCATGTGAACACAGGAAAAAAAATTTTTTTCTCAGATTTGAATGCATAGTTGTTTATTTTGTGCCATTTGAAATAGTAATTGACTGTGTAAAAAATCTTTCCAATCAGATAATGTTTAGTGGGTGCTCAAGGACCATAAAGTTTTACGAAAAACGTCAAAAACGTGGAAAAAGTTCCTAAGTTCCAAAAATTTATAGAAAAGTTCTAAAAATTTCTACCTGGTTAGTTAGATTTTTTCCACTGAAATATTGTCTGATTGCGTGCTATATAGATTAATTAAAGTGCAGCAGATTAACTGTCATCAGGGCACCAGACTAAAAAATGTCTGCTAGTGTTTAAAACAACTGTGTTCATATCATTTTGTTAAAATTTGTATTCATAATTTTAATACTATTATTTAACTCAATTTAGAATTTGTTCAAACAGAATAAAAAGGTTTACAAGTATAAATATTATTTTTATTTGGAATTTCAGTTTGACAACAAATGTATTAATATTTTGATAGTACCTAACCTTAGTAACCTATTACAGAAAACTAGCATGGTAGTCTGGTAGTGTATTGTTTGTTATTAAGTGCAGATAATAATAATTTCTAATTTGAAAATATTTATTTAATTTCTTTAGTAATAATTATTATTATATATTGCTGCAGCTGCATAAACCAACAACTGAATGATAAGTTTGTATAATATGGTATTGAGTTTTGATTTTCTCATAATTTTTCAGTTATCATTGAAATGGCAGCATCATCTCGTGTTGCTATCTCTACACGACTTCAAACCGAAATCTTTTTAATTGGACAACCAGAGCCAAATCTTCCAGATAAAGTTCTTCCCTTAACATCTGATGTTTTAAAAACATTTTTTTATCATCTTAATTCAACCAAAAAGTCAGTGCCTGAAAGTCTTAAAACAACAGTTGATGAACTGATTATTATTTGGAATAAAGCCCGTATTCCGACAGCATTTCATCCGAATGTAGTCTTAAAGTTGAAAACTTTAGTCCAGGAATTTAAATTAATAAAAAAAAAAAAATCCAGATTGTCAGATTCTCAGAAATCAAGAGAGAAATCATTTACAGACACCATTGGCCTACTTTTTGACATTGCCCACAAGGATGCTGAAACCATGATCAGAATTGAAGATAAAGAATTTTTATTAGATCAGAGATGTCAGAGAAAAATGGTGATGTTTGGAGAGGACAAAGAACTTTCAAAATTAGAAGCAAGAAATGAAGCAAGGAAACAAGCAGAGAGAGAACGAAAGCTAAAAGAAGAGCAAAGACAATCTGGTGCGAGTGCAATAGTTCCTGTTATTGAACCTTTACATGACGAAAGTTATAGTGATGACAACGATAACGATGCTGTTGATAATGACAAAATGGTTGATAGAGATTTTGAGATAGAAATCCCTGTTTATTACAGACAACAAGTCAGTAAAGCAAGTTCTTCAGGGTCAGCTGAATCAAGTTTAGCAAGTACTCCAAAACGACAATGTATCTTAGATACAATTCTTGACTCGCCTGATGTTTCATCAACATTAGACAGAATTAATCTATCTGACACAAAATTTACTATACTAGTAGCAGCAATTGCAAGGGCTGGTGGACAGAACCTCGATGATGGATCATTTTCACGTTCTACAGTCCATAGAAAACGAACCTATCATCGATCAAACATTGAAGCCACTGTTCGAACTGAATTCTGCGATTTGGACAAACCACCATTAATCATCCACTGGGATGGCAAACTGATAGATCGTACAAATTCTGCAGACCCTAAAGCAAATGTTGACCGGCTATCTGTAGGTGTGACAGGTCACAATGTTGACAAAATACTTGGAATAGCAAAACTATCAGCTGGAACTGGAGAAGCCCAAGCAAAAGCAGTTATTCATCTGCTTAATTTCTGGGATATAATTGGTGATGTTATTGGAATGAGTTTTGATACTACAGCCTCTAACACTGGCTCCGAAAATGGTGCATGTGTAGTTCTAGAGAAACATATAGGTAGAAATTTGTTATATTTTGCTTGCAGACACCATGTTCATGAGATCATAGTAGCAGGAGTGTTTGGATCACTATTTGGACCATCATCTGGTCCCAACATACCTCTTTTCCAGAGATTTCAGCAATATTGGCCCAAAGTTAATCAAGGAAATTTTAAACCTCTGGATGACATTCGAATGAAAATGCCCCTGGTGCAAGAACTACAAAATGAAGTGATGGCATTCCTCAAAGAAAACCTGCATGTTAAAATGCCAAGGGATGACTACAAAGAAATCATGGATCTCTGTCTGTTAATACTTGGAAAACTGCCTGATCAAGAAGAGAAAAATTATCATTTCAAGATCCCTGGTGCTTATCACATGGCTCGCTGGATGGCCAAGGTTATTTATTGTTTTAAGATTTATTTATTTCGTGAAGAGTTCAGGTTGACCACAAAAGAGGAAAAAAATCTCTGTGAATTTTGCTTATTTGCTAGTCTGGTTTATGTAAAATCTTGGATATCATGCCCAAATGCCAGCGATGCTCCAGTTAATGACTTGTTTCTGTTTCAGCAACTTAAGCAGTTTGCAGTTGTGAATAAAACGATTTCCGAAGCAGCAGTCAAGAAATTTCAAAACCATTTGTGGTACCTTTCACCAGAATTGGTCCCACTAGCTTTGTTTTCAAACAAACTTAAAACGGAAGAGAAGCGAAAAATGATTTCCAACATGAAATTTCACAGTGAGAACTGGTCTGAAAGGTTGATCAAATTAAAGAACATTGAAAGTCTAGAGAAGAAATCTCTGGACATGCTGGTGACATCAGTTTCAGCAAGTGCGTTGCGGTCAATGAAGGTTGATATTGATTTTCTGTTCAACAACGATCCAGCTACCTGGAATGATTCCCCAGAATACCAAGAAGGAAAAAATTTAGTATATTCATTGAAAGTAGTAAATGATGCTGCCGAACGATCTGTGGCTTTAATGTCGATGTTTAATGAATCGATTACAAGGAATGAATCTGAAATGCAGAGGTTAATTCAGGTGGTTGAGGATCACAGAAAGCGAGTGCCAGATGCCAGAAAGTGTACTCTGAAGAGTTATAGTCCTCGCTAGCATTAACATTGCACGAACTATAACATTACGATAATTAAATGTTAATTGCTCATATGTTTTTGAGTTGACCTACTTAGTAGTTGATAATGGTTTGAGAAACTGTTACTCCTTTACAATAATTTTTTTTGTTTATAATTCGTATTTTAATCAATGACAAAGAGTCAAAAATCTTAGTGTTTTATTTTGGAAAAATTCTGATATAACAAAAACCGCAGAACTTTAGTCGTATTGCAGTATTTTATTTCATTAATTTCTCTGCTAATAAACCAGTATAAAGTGGATGTGGATTGTAATTTGTATTCAGAATTTAATATTTAGAGATAATTAAAACTGATCAAATCTGAAAAATCTAATTAACCGGGTTTTAGAAATTTGTGGAACTTTGTTACTTTTTCCATGTTTTTCACATTTTTCGTAAAACTTTATGGTCATTGAGCACCCCCTAAACATTATCTGATCGGAAAGATTTTTTGCACAGTTAATTAATATGTCAAATGGCACAAAATAAACTATGCAATGAAAACTGAAAAAAAAAAATTTTTTGGACAGCCCTAATATATATATATATATATATATATATATATATATATATATATATATATATATATATATATATATATAATTTTTTAAATTAATTTTTTTTCTTTAGTCTTTAAATAAAAAAAATTATCAATTAAAGTTAACAAATCAAACTATTAGCAAATTAAATTATCAATTAAAGGAATAGTTTTGTTCATTATTTTTTGTTTTTATCTTCATTTTTCCTCATTTGCTTTCTGACATTGGAGTCAGTTGTCATTTTTCAGTGGTCATTTTTATAAAACACGTCGTCCCCCCCTTCCAAAAAAAAAAAGTATAATTAAAAAAAGTTTCCTCGATTAAGTTTAATTGTTTTTTTAAAAATACCACTAATGCGTGATGATGTTTTTTCATAAAAACTAAAGTGTTTATTTACATTTTTTTGTCAATTAGAACTATTTATTTTTTTACTATCAATATTAACTATTTTTTATTTTTTAACTATTAATATAATTTTATATGGTGCGGTAACAAAACAAACAGGACACTACTAGTTTTACATTATGAAAACATTAGTAAAAATTCAAAGTTATTTATTTCAAACGTAATTATAAAGGTATAATAATTCTAATTAGTAGTAATTATAAAGGTATAATAATTTAATTGTTTATTATTTATAAATAGTAATTATAATTGTTTATTATTTATAAATAGTAATTATAAAGGTAAAATAATTTTATTGTTTATTATTTATTTTAGATAAATTTTGTTTTTGTATATTTTATTTTTGTTTTAGTTATTTATTACTAAGCTATTTTTTTCATTATTTTTTTAAGATTTTTTTTCAAGATAAGTTTTCAGTGCTTAATTAAAATGTTAAAACTGTGGTCAAATTGTCAAAACAAAATATTATTTTCATGGTCATTTAAAGCCATGAAATAGCACGCCTTCCTGACCAAGCCTGATATCAGCGGCTATTCTAGACCATTTTAGACAGCGCCAAACTTATTTGGACACTGCCCAAATACAGCCTTGTTGTGAGATTTTGTTGCATAACAGAAAAACGCAACACAAATGTAACTTTACTCAATAAAAATATTTATATCGTTAAAAGTTTAATTACATCATTTTAAAACACCTCATTTTTATTAAATTTAAACCACATTAAAAATTCTTTTGTGAATTTCAAAAATAATGAAATTCTTATACATAAAATTTAACGGCAAAGGGAAATCCCAAACATAATATTTATAGAGCAGGAATTATCTTTTCTGGATATTTTTTTTAACTTTTAGTTTTTCCGGATATCCAAAATATTTTCAATACATGCAAGTTAAGGTTTATATTTTTGTAATATATTTGTTTTTTAAGCTTTTTCACTCATCACTCAAAATTAAAAACAACTTAGCTAAATACGAAATTAATAAGAAAATAAGCGAAAACAAATTCCGGATTTTTTCTGGATATTTTATTCAAACACTTTTTTGAATTTTCAAAATATGACTACGATGATCTATGAACTGGAGTTTAAAAGAACTTTTTTGTATTAATTTGTATTGATAACTACAAAAGTGCATTAATCAGACTAGTCTGATAAATTTGTTCTGGAAAGTTTGATTATTATAAAACTTATTTTTCAAGGATTTTTTATGATTTTATAAATGAATAAATAGAGTATTTTTAAAATTTTAAAAGAATTTTAATTAAATTTAATAAAATGAATTACTAAAACTATGATTAATAATCAAATATTTAAAAATATTTGATTTATTTTATTAAATATAAAAACATAATAAGAAATTTAAAAAAAAATTATACCAGTTGATGTGGTATGTACAACATTTTGCACCAAAACACGCTTTTTACGACACCATGAGGTTCTACCTTTTCGTTTTCTTTTTCTTCTTAAATTACTTGGCTGCAATTGACAGTTTCTGTTGACTTTTTTGTCAATAACATCTAGTATTGCTCCTAAATAATTGAAACAAATAAAAATAATGCATTTATGTTATCAAAAAATGTGAACTAACACTTCTGTAGGTATAATGAATTTAAAGTAGTATAAAGATAATTATGATATAAAGCATTTTTATTACAGAATTTTTTTTAGGTTTTTTATCAGAGAAATTTTTGAAGGTTTTAACAAGTTTTTATTACATAAATTTTTTTAGGTTTTAAGAAGTATCTAAACAATAATAATGACGTAAAAAAATTTGATAATAAAGCCTGGGATAGGTTTGACTAGGTAATATTACAAACAACAGTGAATTTAATAATTTAAACAAAAAATAATTAAATCACTAGTTCTAAATTGTTTATTCAAAATACTTTATTGCAATAGTATAAATAATATGCTCTCCTGTAAAAGTCAAGGCAGGCAACTGTATTTTTAAAAACATAAAGAAAAGACTTGAGCACCTAGCACCACCCTACTTAATTTAAACAACATTTAATTTGGTTGATTTTTTTTTTAATTGAAAAAATGATTAATTTTTATTTTTATTCGAAAATAATCTAAAATTATAATTTTTATGTAAGCCAAATTTGCCCATTGAAATTTTAATACAAATTTGCTTTGTCTCAGAATGTGGTATTTTATTTTAATTAACTTTAGAAATTATGATTTTAAAAAAGATAATAATGAATTATATATATACATACATATATGTATATGTGTATATATATATATATATATATATATATATATATATATATATATATATATATATACATATATATATGTATAAATATATGTATATGTATGTATGTATATATATATATATATATATATATTTATATATATAAATATATATATATATATATATATAAATATATATATATATATATATATATAAATATATATATATATATATATATATATATATATATTCATATATATTCATATATATATATATATATATATATATATATATATATATATATATATATATATATATATATATATATATATATATATATATATATATATATATCAGGTCCTACTCCAGGAAAAAAATTTGGTCGCTGGTACCCCTCTTTTTAACCGTTTTAATCGCAAAAAAGAATAATTGGACCGATGAGAGACAATTACAAAAAAAATTTAATCATTGATTAGTAAAAAACCCATAGTCAACTAAATTGACTATTTGATTTTTTAGAGTCAACTAATTTTAACTTTCCATTAGTCAATTTTTAGTCGATTTAGTCAAAGTTGAAAACAACACTAGCATTTAGTTCTTTATTGTTGTGGTTTTGAACAGTTTTTTTAAGATGTTTTTAATAAAATTCTTACACTAGTTATTTGAACTTATCAAGTTTATTTAAAAATAATTTTAAAAACTTTGTAATTATAGTTTTTTTTAAATGTTCAAACATTTAAAACAAGTTTTTTTTTTAATAATTATGTTTAAAACATTTTTAAAAAACTTTTCTACCTTAAAAATGCTAAAAAAAAACAAATCGATAAATTACAATTAACTAATTTTACAATTAAACTATTTAAATAACTCTATGATAAATTTATAAATAACAGTAGATTACAGTAAATTACTTTAATCAAAACTTATTCTATGTCTAGTATTATTACATCTTTAAGTTTTTATTTAAAGGTGGGAATTAACAGTAGCAACATTGAATTGAATACAAAAAAAAATGCTAACCTTAAAATATTGGCTATTTCTGAAAACTATTGATCTCCTATTAGATGTTTTCTGGGACAAAATTAAAACTTTTAATTGCAGTTTTCTTTATTACATCACCAATAGGTGATGTAATAAAGAAAACTGAATCAAATAATTCCATGCTCGGTGTAGTTAAGGCGATTTACAAAATATTCAAATACTTTTATTTGGAATTAGCATGGTTTTGTCAGCATATTATGTCCAAACAAGGTCTTTAAATGCTATAATTTTTTTTACTTAAGGTTTTTATAATATTTAAAGAAACTTTCTTTTTTTATATATAATTTTCAAAACCTTTTTACTACCCGTAATAGTGTATCTAAAGAACACTATTTTGGAGTCTTTAGATCAATTCCGCTCATCGGCATTACTATGAGTTTAGTTAAAATCTTTTGAAAAGGTTCCTTAATTTACAACTAATCCTAGTTCTAATCCGTTATGACGTATATTAACTATATATAGTTGTCAAAACACAATATATATATATATATATATATATATATATATATATATATATATATATATATATATATATATATATATATATATATATATATATATATATATATATATATACAACCCTCGGAATCAGGAAAAATGAGGTCAGCAAATTATTGCCGACCTCAATTGTTTTTAAGGTTGGCATCAGGTAGGCAAAAATTATTTGATAAAAAGGTCTGAACATATAAAACAAAAAAACAAGGTCTGCAAAAGAGCAAAATGATCTCCTACTTATATTTTTAAAATAAGTTTTGTGTTGCATAATTTATGGACAATCCCTTATATGTTTTGATGATTTAAACATTTCAGAAATGCACAGAAAAATGTTTAAAATGTTAGCCTAAACTTATACTAGAAAAAAAAAAAAATTAAAAAACTAAAGAATAATCGAAACAATTCCTACAAAAAAGAAAATAAACTAGCTTTGAAAACTTAAAAAACTCAACATAAAAATTACATTATGTCACGTTTTTAATTGCATTTGAAAAAAATTACTTTAAAACTGATTTTTTAAAACGTTAACCCTCCGTCGGGCGCAATCATTTTTTAACTCCGGAAGGCGCATTGTATCAAATTCAGCGTGGCCACATAAAATTTTTATAAGAAAAAGAGGATATTAGAGGATTTTAGAAGAGATTTTGCATTGAATTTAGAGGAATTTTTTTGCAAAACTACAAAATTCTGAATAAAAATAGAGGATTTTAGAGGATTTTTATTTCAAGGTTTAACGCCTGTTTCCACATAACTGGGGTTTGGACAGGGGTCAACAATGACATTATTTGTTAGATGACATGGATTTGCTAAAATTGATTTTTCACAACCCAACTCTCATTTCAGACTTTACGCATTTTGCAGACCATGAATTTTGAACATTATACTACCATCAAGAAATAAAAAATAATAAAAAAGAGGAGTTAAAGAGGAGACTTTATAATATTTTTAACTTTTTAGAGGATAATAGAGGATTTTAGAAGAGGTTTTTGAAAAAAGAGGACTTTAGAGGATTTTAGGGGAGCTGTGGCCAACCTGAAATTGATACGAATAACAATTCACCAATTTAGTATTTTTTTTTTATTTTTTAATTTTTTTTTTTATAAATTGCTTAAATAATCTTTGAACAAATATGAAATATTTACAATAATTAAAAATTCCATCACAAATGTTATTTTCAATAAATGAGGCGCATTGATCAAATTGATACAAATTTCCAGCGACTATTCTAAAAAGCTAATTATATTTAAAAAAATTAGGAAAAAAAAAAAGTTTCTGAATTCTTTGAAAAGAAGTGTAACATTTATATAATCTTAATTTAATATGTTGATTATCATGTTTAACATATCGTTTTGAACATCAAACCTAGTACAGTTTATACACAACTGCCGCAATAGCTTTTTAGGTGTGCCACATGGCCGACAACACAGGTTTTGAAGTGGAGAGGTATAATCGTTTATTTTTTTACATAAAAATAAAAAAGGGGTTACCATAAAACATAGAAACAAGATCAACATTTTTTTGCCAACCACAAACACTTCTAGGTCTGCAGTTAGGTCAGCATTGCCGAATAACAACACTAATCCCATGGGCTGTAATAGTATTGTTATTATACTCGTTATATATTAATACATGGAAAAATATGCTAGATAAAAATCACAAGTTCTGATTATATAACTAATACAAAAAATTTAAAAAGTTTGCTACAAACCTTTTGATGTGGTTATGACATCAGTTGTACAAACTTGCTTTTTATTACGTCTAAAATACCACAATGGTCTACCTCTTTTTCTCTTTCTCTTTGGTTTGACTAAATCATTTTGATTTTTATCTACATTATTGCCAATAGTATCTGACATCACTCCTATTAAATTAGAACAATTGAGGTAAAAACAACAAATAACATAATAAATTTAAAAATAGCATTAAAACTTTTTGAAAAACCATATGCAAGGTTTAAAATCTTCCTAAGAATAGTATTACAATAAACATATTCAACCCTATTTGTTAAAATAGTTTAACATTTGGGAAGCATCATATTGTAAAAACTTGCTTCAAATTTTCTTTAGTGACATTTTTATTTAGGAAATGAAATAATAGAAAACTGCCTAAACTTTAAGAATCTATGGAGTTTGTATTAAATTGTAGTACTTAACTCATACACATACAGCATATTATTCTAAACATATTGAACAGAATCTGATTAAATCTTTTTATTTTTTTTATTTTAGTATTTAAATTTTAGTATTTGACTCTTATTTTTTACTATTTAGATTATTTGTTTTAAAAATAGTTTTAGATTTTGCTAAGAATTTTTTACTGAAATGATTATATAACCTCATTAAATGTCCACGTATTTAAGGTGATTAAACAGTAGATAATGAACAACAGCTTACTCGTTTATGTTGACAAAAATAAATAAAACCATTCTTATCACTAAATACTCATTAGATTTATATGATCAAATTCCACTAAATAATATATAATAGTAGTAACTTTAAAAACAAAATACCGATGCCAAAAATATACAAATAAATTTAAGAAGAAAAAAATTATAAATTTTACAACGTTATAAAAGTTTATAAAACGTTTAAAGCAATGATAACACTACCTATTACTGCTTTAGAATTATAACTAATAAAAAAAATAGATTGTTTATTATAAAGAAAATGGCAGTTAGTCGGGAATTGGCGGCAGAAAAATAATTATGCGAGGTGTTCCAAAATTTGGTTGGCGCAATAAAGTACCACCGCGATCGAAGTCTGTACTCAAATTATACTAATCATGCCTAAGTTAGTTTTAAATTATGCAAGTTGTTGAAAAGCTTATTGTTTAAAACAATTGTTTTAAAAATGTTAACATTTTCTACATTGTCTACCATATGTTTTACAAATTGCTCAAACAATAAAATGATTGAAAAATGTTTGAACTAAAATTATACAACAAAATATCAGAAATTTTCTTAAATCAAATTAGGGGGTTGCTTGACAAAGTAATGAACAAAAATATGGTGTAGAGTATAGATTAAAATTAAGTAAAAATATTTTCAAAATAATTTTATATAGCAATCAATAAATATTATTGATGCAGTATTATAATAATACTGTTATAACTTTATAATTAATAATACTGCTATATTTTTTTTGTGGAAAAATATGTTTTAGGGGGTAAAACCATAAAACAAGTTTATAAGAAAAAAACAGTTTAAAAAAAAATGATTTTATTAATTTTTTTAATTAGAAATCTGATTCCTACATCCTATTCTAAGTAACTAAGTTGATTTTTTTTCAAAATTACAATGAAAGAGTGCAAGAACTTTGTTTTATTACCCACAGTGTTGCTATTCCAAAAATGCCTTAATTGAGAAAAATATTTTTTTATTTTTATAAACTTCAAAAAGTATTTTATTTATATTTAAATTCATTCTGATTTTGTGTGAGATCTAGCTATAAGCGATTAAGAAGTACAGTGTTTGTAAGATTTGAGATAGGGTTTTAACAAAACAACAAATGAGTATGGAAGTTATTTATTAGTATCATACTGTGATTGGTTTTTCAAATACATACACTAAGTATCAATATGCTTAGGACAAAGAGAATGTCGTTCATCTAAAAATGCTGTTCATCTAAAGATTTTTAACTGTCCTGAATCATATGCTTAAAAATAGTCCACACAGCATAGTTAATGATAAATTGCAAAATTATTGATAACTCCCATCATAAAACAATGAGAATCTTGATTTAATGCATTAAATCAAGATTCTCATAGTTTTATGATGGGAGTTATCAATAATTTTGCATTTTATCATTAACTATCCATAATAATTTTGCATTTTATCAATCAAATTATTTGTAAGCCTATTGCAATTTCTAACAGCATATCTATCTGACAACTTTAGACCTCTGTTTTTCCTTCATTACATTGTTTCCTAATTTAAAAAAAATTAATATTGTTAAGCTCTCCTACTTCTTTTTAACATAAAAAACTCTCTATACTATCTACAGAGCAAACATCAACATCAAATGGTTGAAAATAGAATATCAAGGGTAATATCAAGGGTGAGACCACATGAACTCGTTTCAAATAAACTTTTTTTAAATCGGTTTGATCATTTTCAAGTTAGCCATTCAACAAGTCTATATTTGTGAAAGTTTAGATAAATGTGCTCCATAAGAGGTACAGGAGATAAATGATATAAATAATAGAGTTTCTTGTAAAATAAGTCTTATAATGAAGATAAAGAACTACATTAAAAGTTTTTAGTTCAGTTTTTCTTTGATTTCTTATAATGAAGATAAAGAATTACATTAAAAGTTTTTAGTTTTTCTTTGATTTCTTGTACCAAAGTTGTCTAGATCTGTTTTCATTTTATTTTTCTTAGTTATTGTTTTTGTATGTATTTTACATGTATTTAAAAAAAACAGCAAAAATATGCTAGTATTTTTATTAATAAAAATAGATATATATAATAAATAGATAATTAAATTAGATTTATATTAACATATTATAGACATATTTTATTAGCGCTAAAACTAGTTTATATAATCATATGCACAGTTAATTTTTTTTTTAATAATATATGTACATATAGATTTAATATAATCATGTTGACAAAGTCCATGAATGCGGATTTTAGTTTAAGGAAGAAGATATTCAAACATCACTAATTAATAAAAATAGACAATAATAAAAATTATTACTTTCAATTAAACTCTATACTTTAATAATTGTTTTTATTAGAAATTCCGTACATATTTATTAAAATTCTAAATTTATAGTAAAAAATGTTGAATTTTTTCGAGAAATTATGCATCGATGTTTTATCACTTTTGGATACGGTTATTGATCTTATAGAATTTTAAACAAAAAAAGAAAAAAAAATTATAGCAATAAATTTTTTTTAAATTTTTGCCTCTTATTTTTTTAATTTTTTTTCAGGGGTGAGCAAAAATCCCCAACTTATTGGTGTAATTTCTTTTTTTATAAATGTAATGTAGAGTTTAAGAGAATCGTCCACACTCTAAAACTGATTTAACTTTTTCCCTTTTTTTGAAAATCTATTTTTTTCTATGGTTTTTATTAATTTTAACACAGAAATGTATTGGTCGAAATGAAATAACCATTAAAAAAAAAGTTATTTGAAATTTCAGAACATTTTAACGCCTTAACAGCATATATTAGTTCATTAAAGATTAAAATACGAAAAGTTATTTTTTATAGCATTTTTTCAAAGCATTTTTCAAAAAAATCCCAAACTTCTTTTGGTCTGGAATAGTGTCGCAAAATTTGTACTGTCGCAAATTTGATTGTCGAAAATGTAAAAAAGTAATAGTGTCGCAAATTGTTGCATTATTGATTATCGAATAACAGAATAAGGAATAATTTCGCAAATGAATTTAATGATTAGTGTCGAAAACATGAAAAATGAATAACGTCCTAAATGAGTTTAATGAATAGTAACAAAAATAAAAAAATTATAATAACTATAAATGTGTGTTTAGATAACATGTATGATGTCATACTGAAAAAGCCTGCTGCTGGGGATATCAGTACATACACCAACTTCTTGTAGCCTGCTACCGCAAAGGAGTGTCGCAACAACGACTGAGGATTTGGGGTTTAATAGCAACCTTTTCTTTCATTATTCTTTTTTTTTTTTTCTTTTTTTCTTTTTTTTTTTTTTTTGTAAAAGCCGTATACTATTAAAGAAAAGCAAAACAAGTTAGCAATGGCTGAAATCAACTATTTGCGACACTATTCCTTTTTTTGTTTTTGACACTATTAGTTAAATTCATATGCGACACTATTATTTTTATGTTTTTGTTTTTGACACTATTCAATAAATTTATTTGCGACACTATTCCTTTTTAATATATTCAACACTATTCCAAAGTTCGTTTTTTGACACTATTCCTGTAAAAAAACAATTTCTAATAATTTTTATCAATTTTTTTCGTTTATTTTACATTTTGTATTGCATTTATTCAATAAAAAATTTACACTCCAAAATTTTAGTTATTTTTTATGACGTGCCTTAACTTTTTGGCCATTACTATATATATAAATATATAAACCAATTTTCTGAGCTCAGCTGATTCCAGTAGTTGCTAAGTACTTTGTTATAAATAATATTTAATCATACACTTAATCACTTAAGACGCATGAAGAACGATTTTAAACTCATAGATCACTTAAATCTGATTGAGGACTATTTTAAATAGCGACAAGTATACTGTAAAAAATGTCACGCCAAATTTTTTTACAAAAACTGCCATGTCACGAAGCCCAATTTAATATGCAACATTTAGAATTTAAATGGTCACGTGACTTTTAGCTGTGGACTGTAGAATTAAAGTAATCACACGGATTTATAGATATTACGTATGACGTATTAGGTATGACGTATTAGGTATGACGTGGCATTTATAATTAAATTAATCATTTGACTGTTTAAGTTTAGCATGGTGTGGCATTTAATTTTTTTAATTTGTCACGGGACGATCATGTGGCATTTTAATTTTTCGCGCTGATATTACATATGGGCTTGGTGATATACGACACCAGTGGCGTAGAAAGGTTTTTAAATTATTGAAATAACCAACTTTTAAACAAAAAGGATATTACATAAAAACTGAACACTAAATAATTTAAATATAAAATTTGAAATCTGTCGAACAATACATAATTAGTTTATATTAATGAAAAAATAATTCAACTCATTTCACGTTTAGGGTAGGGAGGGGGCTAATATTTTGTGGTTTCTTGTTTCCATTTTCCTATCACAGTAATTTTTTTTTGTGTGAGAAATCTTTTAATCATACATATGAACGTAAAAAAAATTTAGAATATTCTTTTTGTTTAAAAGTTGGTTATTTCAAATATTTAAAAACCTTCTACGCCTCTGTGCGACACGATAGTGTTTTAGATGTTCCGTGACTAATAAAATGTTTAAATGTCACACCATATTTAAATAGAATAAATAAAAAGAAATAAAAAAGCTATACTTTCTTTGTTTTAAAAATCATCATCAAATATAAAAAATATATTATGAATTAATTTTGTGTTTTTAGTCTACGCGACGAGTTTAACAGTTTCAATATCAATATGTCTACCGCAATAGTTTTCGCAATACTTTTTGTAATACTTTTCACAAAACTTTGAAAAATTCCTTGAATTGACTGGACAAAAGTCAATTCAAGGAATCAATTAGTAGATAATCTCATGATATTACTGAATATTGCCTAGAAAAAATTCCAAGAATTAATTAGCGCGCGTTTTTAAGTGTTAAATCATTAGTGCATAATCGACACTTAAAGTTAAAAACTTTAACATTTTAGTTGAATATTTTTAACAATAACAAATTACTACTTTATTGTGAATAATAATTAATTCTGCAACGATCAATTTTACTTTAGGGAGAATGTACTTAGTATTTTATTGAAAATTTAATTTAAATAACTAGCATAAGTGGTAACCTGTAGATTTTTAAATATCTATAGAAAAATTGCAATTTCTTTTTTGCAATAAACTAAGTTTATCCAAATATATCCATACTAATTTTTTTATATATTATATAATTTCAACAATAAGGTATTTAAATATAAAAATTCGGCTGCTCAGGTCTGCCTTTTTAATTTAAATTAAAAATTTTAATTAAAAAAGCAGACCTTAAAAAAAATTTTTTTTAAAGGTCTGCCTTTTTAATTTAAATTATTTGTAATTTTTAATAGAAAAACCTTTTCTATTAAAAAATACAAGCACATTTTCTAAACTTGCAGAAAAGTGGAATGCAGCCTATAGAACAGTGGATAACTGTTTACAAAATACAAAGAGATAAAGACTTGCAACCACGGAAGGCTATTGAGTTAACCACAGTGCTGAAATAGCAAGTCGTTTGTTGGGTCAAATAAGCGCAGTTTTTTTATTTGAAAAAGTACAGAAACACTAGAGTGAAGTAAACCTTCTAGTGTTATTCGTTGTGACAGATAGTTAAGTAGCGACGAAGCATTAGCTTACTATGTAGATTCCAAGTGATTACTCAATCTTAATGGGGCACGCAAACACAAACAGAAACTAATCATTAGCATCCGAGTTTTCAAATCCTTGTTTGTAGCTACTGCGGCCAAAACTTTCATCACATCTTCATTTGTTAATTAAGACAAGTGAGAAACTAGTGGGTACATTTTTAAGAAATTCATATAGTGTTTCAATTAAACTTTCAGTTTCACATAAATAAAGTCTTCTGGAGGGTAACGCAATCTTTTGGATTTACATCAAGTATTGCTTTTAATTATGGATATACTTCATGTCCTTCTTTCAGTGACATTCTTGTTTGTTTATAAGTGTGACGAGTATACTGTAATTAGGTAAAATCCTCAACCATCGTTAAGATTCTAATGCCGACTAGTTAAATTCTTATTTCCAATAGAAACACAGGAATTTACAGTAATCGAAACTAAAAATATTTTGAAAGAAATATCTGAACCTCTTCCAACACTATTTACTGTTAGTGAATTTATTGTAAAACACATTCTATTACTTACAATGGCACTCGGAAAAGTATGCAATGTTTTAACTGGTACGCACTCTACAAAATTTGTGTTATGTTTGTGGTGCTATTACAAAAATGATGAATGATGAGTAAAAAGGTATGGTAGATAAAAAATTTGTGTTATATTTGTGGTGCTATTACAAAAATGATGAATGATGAGTAAAAAGGTATGGTAGATAAAAAATTTGTGTTATATTTGTGGTGCTATTACAAAAATGATGAATGATGAGTAAAAAGGTATGGTAGATAAAAAGGTGTGGTAGATAAAAAGGTATGGTAGATAAAATGGTATGGTAGATAAAAAGGTATGGTAGATAAAAAGGTATGGTAGATAAAAAGGTATGGTAGATAAAAAGGTTGGTAGATAAAAAGGTATGGTAGATAAAAAGGTATGGTAGATAAAAAGGTATGGTAGATAAAAAGGTACGGTAGATAAAAAGGTATGGTAGATAAAAAAGAAAACTGTTTTGATTTGTCTACTTTTGATTTGTACTTTTAAATGCTTGCTACACATTAGCTGCCATTTGAACATAAAAAAGTGGCAAGTTTAATATGCAAATGAATTTGAATTTGTTTATTCAGAAGTTAGAAATTTATATTAAATACTTTATACAATTAAAAATTTATAAAATTCCAATGCAGTAGTGCGACACCAGGCACTACTATGCTCACAGCTTAAAAACAAGCGCTGTGTTCATTATTTGTTTTTTTTTCCATCAATTTTACTTTTAAAGACATTTACCGAGACTGAGTAAACTGAAGTGGGTTTCATACGTTTACCTTGCGGTTAGTGAAGAAATGCTTCCTCTCTTTGCAACTTTTGATTTCTTGCTTATTTAATCGTCGATTGTGCCCTCGTAAGCAGTAATTTAATATTGATGGCGCACACCTGCGGTACGGCGAACTCAATTTGAATGATAACGAGAACAATTTTAATTTTCTGAACTAAATCACCTCAATTTCTTCTTTCTTCAAGTGTATTGAGTCTAAGTATACAGAACCTCTCCTCATATAACTTATGCTTGATTCTGTGAATGTTTGAATACACGCAATTGGCTCTTGCTGCTGCGGCTTTTACTTTATATTTCACATATAAATCATTAGAAACAATTATTCCCAAACCACGTTCATTTTTGGTACTTTCAAGTATTTTCTGTTTCATAATTGATTCATGAGTCAATTTTTTAATTAAATGTCCAACATGCATCACGTTGCTTTTTTAAGTTTAACCGCATGAGCCATTTATTAGACCAACGTACTATTTTGTCTATGTCATTTTGTAACGTTACAGCGTCTCTAATGCTCTTTTATTAAACTTAAAACCTTGCTATTGTCAGCATATATCTTAATTTGATGTGCTATATTGTTTGGTAGATTGGTTATATAAAAGTAGTAAAAAATCAAGCTCTGAACCCTGTGAAACACCACTTGTGATTTTCTTCCAATCTGATTTATGATTATCGATTGGTACCCTCTGAAAAGACTGAGTAGTTATCATTTACCGAAATGTTTTCGAGTAGGTTATTTCATCCTAGTATTCGTGTTGTAGTAGTTTTATTGTCTGCTTTACTTCAAATGTATCTTTTATTTTTTTAGGGGTGTATGGCTTAACGAGTCACCCTTTTCTAATTCCTCAATTCTGTCTAGGTCTTTCGTGATAATAAAGTCAAATGTGTTTTTTGGATCTTTGTTTCTGGAGTTATTTTAATATTTTCTTAATATCTTCTGACACTGTTTGGGAGTTTATGACTCTTAATATCTTCTGACACTGTTGTTAATTGTTTTGTATTTACATTTATTATTTTGTACTTCATTTTCATGAGCAGCCGTGATGCAATGGTTAGAGTTCTGGCTCAGAACCCAGAGGTTCGAGGTTCGACGCCAGCTAAGTTATGCAGTTCGTAGTAACTATTTAATAAAACAATTAGGCGTTTAGAGACTTCATCAACTGATTTTGAGAGAACATGAAAAAGAGTGCTGCCACATCGACTAAGTTTTGGGTAGGGATAGCGATATAGTTAGAGCTTGGAAAAATATTTTGTATTTTACTCTTGCAATTTACTTTTAATTTATTTTGTTGAAATTTTCCTCATTTCCGCATTACAAGATTTTACTTTTGACATACGCATTATTTGTTAGTGCTTCTTACATTATTAAATCTTTATCAATTTTTTGCATTAAGTTATTGAACTTTTGAAAAAATATTAAAACTAATACGTAATTACGTCATAGATTTGATTGGTATTTCAAATGAAACTGATGTAAATAAAAGCTGTTTAAAAATAGTGAAGGTAAGCTGTATAGCAAATATAGCTGTTTAAAAATAGTGAAGATAAGCTGTATAGCAAATATAGCTGTTTAAAAATAGTGAAGGTAAGCTGTATAGCAAATATAGCTGTTTAAAAATAGTGAAGGTAAGCTGTATAGCAAATATAGCTGTTTAAAAATAGTGAAGGTAAGCTGTATAGCAAATATAGCTGTTTAAAAATAGTGAAGGTAAGCTGTATAGCAAATATAGCTGTTTAAAAATAGTGAAGGTAAGCTGTATAGCAAATATAGCTGTTTAAAAATAGTGAAGGTAAGCTGTATAGCAAATATAGCTGTTTAAAAATAGTGAAGGTAAGCTGTATAGCAAATATAGCTGTTTAAAAATAGTGAAGGTAAGCTGTATAGCAAATATAGCTGTTTAAAAATAGTGAAGGTAAGCTGTATAGCAAATATAGCTGTTTAAAAATAGTGAAGGTAAGCTGTATAGCAAATATAGCTGTTTAAAAATAGTGAAGGTAAGCTGTATAGCAAATATAGCTGTTTAAAAATAGTGAAGGTAAGCTGTATAGCAAATATAGCTGTTTAAAAATAGTGAAGGTAAGCTGTATAGCAAATATAGCTGTTTAAAAATAGTGAAGGTAAGCTGTATAGCAAATATAGCTGTTTAAAAATAGTGAAGGTAAGCTGTATAGCAAATATAGCTGTTTAAAAACAGTGAAGGTAAGCTGTATAGCAATTAAAGCTGAAAGTTTTTATTAATCTGAGTAAAACAAAATTCTTTTTAGGTTAAATTTAAGAAAAATAGAAATCAAATAAAAATAGATATATACTAACCCTGCTAACGCATTAATGGGAGTTTATGAGAAGTTAGGTGATTGTAAACTTAAAGATTACTCTTTGGGAGACTCGTAGATTGTTTGAAAAATGAAACTTTATGTTTACTTGAGATTGTAACAATCAGCATATAATATTTTTTTCAAATAACATATATTTATGGTACTAAAACACATTTATGAATAGCTATATAACTCTATAGTATGCGTATATAACTATTGTTTGCATTTAAGGCTTATGTGTGTATTTAGTACATGTTAATAACAAATTTATAAATGATAACAATTTTTATATTTTGTTTGTCTTTTTTTTTTTCTGTTAACATCTTTTGGTTATATCACCATATTACACTCGCAATGATTTTGACGTCTACTTAACTTGCAAAAAAAATTTTTATGGATAAGAGTAATGAGTGCACATGTATCGACTGATTAGGGATAGATAAAGTGGAATGTACATACAACGACTGATTTAGGAATAGACTCATTTGTCATAGAGTGCTCAATGCTCTTAAAAGAAGAGAACAATCATAAAGTAGTAGAAAATTGTTTAACACTGTGTTTTATCGATAAAGACTCATCAGAAATGAATTATTTTTGAATGAATTATATAATAAATAACGAATTATTTTGAAATGAATTATTTAAATGAAATTTTTGCTAAGTGATTTTCTACTACATTATATATGTAGTAGAAAATCACATATATATATATATATATATATATATATATATATATATATATATATATATATATATATATATATATATATATATATATATATATATATATATATATATATATATATATATTAAATATGGTGGCATCAATGGAGTTAAAAAATACCACCAAAACAGTCCTAACCATCAAAACTATTACATTAAGTGGAAAAGCAGCGCTAAAAGCTTGGGAAACTAGTGCGAGATTGATTCAAGTTTAGAAAAATCGATAAGAAATTAGGCAACAAGGCAGCGTGAAATTTTAAAGTGCATTTTAGATATAATTCTCTTCTTAGCATCACGATTTAGAGGTATATTTGTGAATGGTAATTGTTATATTTATATTTATGTCATAATTTATTTTTATTATAATTAAACAGAAAGTCATGGTTTATATGTGTATACATGTATTATTACATGTATGTATTAAAATTGTCGTTTTAGACTCTTCAAAAATGATCAATGATGACGATAACGGCAATTGTCTCGCAATTCTAGAGCTACTCGCAAAGCACAAAAAGACCCTTTAGTTACATCAGAAAGAGGTTTCCAGGTGTCTGTATGAAGGTAAACAAATTATTGTGCATTTTATGGGTTGGAGTTCCCAAAATGAATTTATAAAAAAGGTCGGAAGAATTGTCCACGGTGCCATCATTAAAAATGCGCATATAGTAATTTACTATTTTATTCTTGTCGACGGAACGCCTGACGTCTCTTATACTGAGCAAATTGCATTTTTCTCCGGATAGTTAAGGAGCGCTTTCTCAAAATCGAAAATCTTAAACAAAAGAAAGGTGTGGATATTGCCATGATAATTATAGATTTCTAGGATCAAAATGACATCAATCGGAAGAGCTGTCGAGGTCAAGGATACAACAACGGTGCCAACATGTCTGGTGTGTACAAAGAAGTAAAAGCAATCATCCTTCAGAGAAATCCTGAAGCTTTCTTTACATGCTGTGCAGCGCTCATAACCTTAACCTAGCTGATGTTCATTCCCTTAAATCTGCTGTAGAAATGAAAAACTATTTTGGTCGGATTCGGTTGCTCTACAATCTTTTTAGTATAAACCCTATACAATGTCAAATCTTGACCGAGACAACTTGTTTGTCTCTTCATTAAACCTCACAAACCCGATGAAGTACACAGATTGAGACTTTGAAACCGTTTGTTAACCTAGAAAACCTAGAGAAATTAATTTTTCTTTGCAGAAACTTCAGGAACCTGATTTAACTGCTGATCTATTAAATGACGGAAAATCTTTAAAGAAATGAATTTATTAATTTGAGTTTATTATCATGACAACCTTTTGGTTCGAAGCGCGCCAAGCAATTGTCAGCGTGTCATTTCAATCAGGAAACATTATTTTAGATGAAGAGATGAAGCTTATGAGGGTTCCTATCGATAATCTTATGAATTTAGATATTCTTTGCCCGAATTAATTAATGAAGCACATTTTGTTACCTCTCGTCTAGCTAGTTATCGATTTTAGTCAAAGTTTGTTCAAAAAGGACAAG